AATAAAAATAAAATAAAAATAATAATAATAATAATAACCATAAATAAATACAAAAATTAAAAAATAAATCAAGAGTGAGAAACGATATACATTATGTATACAGTATTGTGTTGTCCAAGTAAGAGAAACAATTGAGACCCTGCAATTGTGTGTAAATGTGGCAGAAAGTCAGATTAACAACCTGGGACTTGGTCACAATTTTCGTGATGCCATATGGCAGTAGGGTCTACCATTAGACAACACATTATGCTTCCATTATCGTCCCAGGCGGTAGTACCTCCCTGTTTGGTTGCTGCTTACTACAGGTTGACAATCCCTTATCCGAAATTCTTGGGGCCAGAGGCATTTCGGATTTCGGAATTTTTCGGTTTTCATTATGTTTTTTACTACCCGGCACAAGTCACTGACCCACACTGGGGCCTGGTGGCGAAAATATAATAAAAATTATAATAATAACAATTCATAGGTCTAGGTCGTGTTTCTCACTTTTGATCATTTTTTTCATTCTTGTATTTCTTTATTATTATTATTATTTTATTATTACAGTATTATTGTTATTATTATTATTATTATTAATTTTATTATTATTATTAATTTTATTATTATTATTATTGTTATCATTATTATTTTATTTTTGTGTATTTTTAATAAAATTTTTATTTACTATGAATAATTATTATTACTATTACATTTTTGCCCCCCCCCCCAGGCCCCGCTGTGGGTCAGTGATCTATGCCTGGGTGAGCTAATCCCTGTTTAAATGAAAAAAAAAAACCAAAGTTTTGCCCACAAAAAACTTTCGGTTTTTAGAGCTTTTCGGTTTTTGGAATTTCGGATAAAGGGTTGTCAACCTGTACCTACTACCTGATAATCATTTACGGACACCCTGTACATTTCTTTTTACATAAGTACAAATGTACACTACCTTATGCAAGAGAGTCAGGGCTCACCAGAAGGAGTTGATGAGTGGTGGGCTGAGTAAATGGTAATGACAGAAGCAACCAAACCAAGATATTTCCCTATCATTATAGGACCCTCCCCATGTTCAAGATGTTTTATTACTTCCAGCTTTGTCTCAAGAGTCACAGATTTCCGTATTTTGTTTAGTGTAGTAAGGGTAACCGAAGATTCAACAGAACACTTTAATACTGAACAGATGGCACAAATACACAGACAAACAGAGATTAATTCACACTCACGATAAATGGCAGAAGAAAAGACACAGGTTTGTGGAAGGTATGTGAGGGTGGGGGATTTATGATCACTGAGTGAGAATACAGTACATCTCTGTGCATCTCTCCCAAGATGGCTGTCCCAGCTGACTCCTGGGGCACCAGATTTTAATTTTTACTGGGACCTAAATTTGTATAAATCGGGGAAGATTCCGTAACACAAAAAAGGAAATTTGTATAAACGAATTTTCATATCTCGAACGTTCTAGTGAGGGATCCCTAGATTGTACTCACTGTTGGGATTTTCCTATTGTTTTGTTCAAATAACACTCTTCACCTTATGTTATTAAATTACAGGTGTATATGCCTTGATATATTTCTGGTATAATAATACTGTGCAGCCACAATCGTTGATTTACTTTGCCCTCCCAGGAAATAATATCCAAATGAATTGTCCATACAATGACTAGGTGATCATACAGAGGTCAACAACCACACAAATTATAACAAAACCTGTTCAAATGGATAGAAGAACAGCTATGGTAAATGGTCCTTTATTATAATTAATACATACACTTTTTGTCCTAAAGTTGTACTATACTTTGTTATCATTCATTATTACATGTTGTACTTAAAATAATAAGAGCTTCTATAATCATTTAACATCATGATTAAGATGATACTGTATATATAAGATACATTCTGAATATCTATCCAATCTTTGAATTACCCTTCATAATAAATTATCTAAAATAAACATAAATACCTGTATATAAACCTGTATATAAACAATATCTCTCTACATAACACAGAAAATAACATTCCACAGTGGAGGTTCAGCACAAGACAACTACTACACCATATTCCCCCATTTAAGGCCAATTGTAATGAGTAGTGAAGTTGTACAGTACAGGTACTCCCCGACTTACGACGGGGTTAGGGACCGACATCCAGGTCGTAAGTCGAAAATGCTTAAATAACACACAGAAAATAAAAAATTTGGGTCTCTTTTTCTTCTCAGCACCATAAAACACTCACTTTTAGGCTTGCCAGCCATTTTAAAGTGAATTACAGATGAAAATTTTGTCTGTGTACTGACTTTGGGACTCAAAAATACATAATTTGACCAAATTTTGGTATTACCGAGGCGGTCGTAAGTGCGGGTGGACATAAGTCGAGTCGGTCGTAAGTCGGGGAGTACCTGTACTGTACTCAATATCCACAGCTTACATATGAATACTCATAGGTAAATACACTCAGATAAACAATGGAAAGTTCATGCATCCCACGGCAGAGAAATACATACATAGAAGAGCAGTGTCTGAAAGAAAACCACCTCCCAGCAGTATGCCTCAAATGAGACCGACCCCCCCCCCCCTTTGAGTGTGAACAACTGCAACAGAAAGTTGTTCCGATTCAAGGTGAGCTATAATTTGGTAATGTGTGTTTGGGGGTCAATAACTGAATTTAAACTACTTAAATAAAATTATATCTGTAAACTGGAATTTTCAAATTTATGAAGGCAGAAGGAAAGAACCTAACATAAATTAACATCTCCATTAGCCAGAATCCCCGTTAGCCGGAACTCACCAATTCCCAGAATTGAAATCATCTCAATTCCAGCTCTTGTAAACGAGTTTCTAAGAATGAAAATCAGGCACATTTTCTAGAAATTTTTGAGAAAACTTCCGGAAAATCTCTTAAAACAATGTACAGATACATAAAAATTACATATGGCGTTCGTGGTCACTATTCACTTAGAGGCCTTTTCTGCTTGCCTTTGTGTCCGGGATGGCCAGTCATGCATATATTTACTGATCATAATACTTATTTCCTATAAATAATTCATTTAAAATTTATTTTACTTGCATTATTTTTCATAAAAATAGCTCGGTGACACACAACCACACAGTTTGTCGCCAGGCTGTCTTTGTGTTTGGGAGAGCAAGTACAGTAATGCATAGAAATAATTATCAGAATAATAATTCCTCAAATACATACATTTATAACATAATCATAGCATTATTTTCCAGTAATACTACACTACTTTTAGTAATATTACTTTGATACAACATGATAAAATGGACAAACAATGAAAATGAAACAAACAAAAGTAGGTAAAGTACTTACATTCCAGAAGCTACCCTGTGGCCGAGCTTGCGGTGTGACAGGCAAATAGTGACCCTGGAACCTGATAGCCCGCACTGGGCATTCAAACAATGCCGCGAAAAGGCACGAGTTCCGGAACGTCAAGTGAGGCGTAGGGGTTAAAGAAAATGGTCCCTTAGTTATTCTAAAATTTGACAGGAACGATGATAAAGAGTAAGAATATTTCCTAACAAATAAATGCTCGAGTGTATAGGAACTTATCAATAAATGTCTTTCAATGTGTGGTCAAGACCACATTCCGACTCTGAGGCTTAATTAAAATTAATGGTTTCTAAAAATATCATAAATTTAAAATTCTGTGGCCCAACCTATAAACCTCCCAAACGATAACAGTAAAGAGACAGAGAACACTCAGCTTCAAAAACAGGAGATGTTAGTAGTTTTATAGATGTCTATACCATGTAATGCAGGAAAAAGTTGGGGAAGTTCAGGCAAGCAACTGAAATCTAACATGGCCAACGTGTAAAAGCCACCAGCCATGATGCACCCACGCTAGTGTGACATCACATCTCTTTGGTCTCTTGCTTTAGATTGTATTTGTTGCATCTAATATCCCTTTTAAAAAGAAACGGTTGAAAAAGAGAAAAGGGAACTCGGCTTATATATTAGTCTCCACACATTGATGCCATGGGTCACCTGGGTTTCACCCAGTAGGCATCGTTAGCACATCTCTTTTATACGTATTAAAATCAGTACACCAAGCAAATTAATGCTGATCATGACTCCAACTGTCATATTATATATTATACTGAAAAATAAAAAAATTCAGGTTCATTTTAATGTCATAACTCCCTTGTCATCCACACCATAGGCTGTCTTGCTAGATACCAGAATTTTGTTCTAACCTTCAGTCACTCTAAAACTTCCATGGGAGATAAGTGATCCAAATTTGGACTGGAACACTAAAAACATACTAGAAAGAGAAATTTCTTTACAATGACAAAATACAAATGACTTTTTAACAAAAATACTACATTTTCTTATGTCACTGGCAACCCATAATCCTGTAAGGCACCCACAAAAATACCAAATTCAGATACAAATAGAATATTACAAAATTACTGGTTCAGTAAAACGATTACTTTTACTTACTTTTATCCTCATCACCACTGATTGGCTCGTTAGCCACTTGGGCGATCGGTCACGTCTCTGTTATGCACTGTTGGCAAGTACTGGGCATGCACCGGCTCCTGAATGTACCTGAACCTGCTCCAGTGTTGATCAAGTCTGGTATTGAAAGAGCTCACACTCGGTGCCATCACAACACTTTCTGGCAAATTGTTCCAAGAGTTCACAACTATCACTCCAAAAACTTTGGCCTCACAGTTTTCTAGACCTGTGGCTTCTTCAATCTTGAGCTGTGACCCCTTGTGGGGCGAGCGTCTTCCAGCTCCAAGAAAGGACATTTGACTAAGTAGTGCCGCTGGAGATGCATGTACACCTCAATCAGATCACCCCTTGCCCTTTTTGTATAAGCTAGGCAAGTTCAGGCGCTCCAATCTCTCAGGGTAGTTGAGGTGCCGAAGTGCAGGCACCAGCCTGGTGGCCCTCCTTTGAACATTTTCAACCAACTGACAGTCCCTAGCATATCTAGGGGACCAGGCGGGGTGACAGTACTCCAGATTTGGTCAAGTCTGGTCTTAAAAGAGCTCACACTCGGTGCCGTCACAATACTTTCCGACGGATTATTCCAAAAGTTCACAACTCTCACTCCGAAAAAGTTTGCCCTCACAGTTTTCTGGACCTGCTGCTTCTTCATCAGCCTTGAGCTGTGACCCCTTGTAATCCTACGAATGATTATTTCAACAAATATTCCACTTCTTCTTCCAATCAATCAATTGACATTCAACATCAACCTCCTCAACTGGCGGGCCTTCTAACATAATTAGAGCTACATGATATCTAAGTTCCTCTTGAACGTTATTCTTCAGAAACAAGTTTAAGGCTGTAATATTGAACATGTACTGCTCAATAGCCCCATTAAAACATGGTAAAACTGACATTTTTTTAAACAATGTAAGGAGATGTGGGAATGCTTTGTGCAAATCTGAATTTTTAAGCACAAGTTTCAGTACCAGATATAAGCTAAAATCATGATAATGTGGGAGAAATTCAACACAGTGTTTAATATCTTGAAGGCACTGGTCACTCCCCCCGTCATAGTTTGTCATTGTTTTGGACAAGATCTTTCCCACATTATCAATGGTGAGATTCTTCAATTTCTGTGAGAAGATTCCCATCAGTTCCTGGTCTGAATAATCTAAAATAAAGATAATTTGATTGATATATGTGTCAATTAGACACAATGCTTCATCCCACTCATGGTCTGCATTTTTGAAAGGTTGCATTTCATTGTGAATCTCATTTTTAAGTTCCTTCAGTATTGTGCACAAAGAACTAAAATCACAAGCTTTCCTTCCCAGTACATCATGAAGTTTTGGCAACACTGATAAAAACTTTTTGAGGGAGTCTCCATTTTTCAAGCCAACTTTGTTAAAGAAGAGCGCTTCCATGCTTTCAGTTTCTGCATAAATCTCCCTAGATATTCTTCTTAAATTGCCAATATTATTGAAAAAAAAAAGTAAGATTTTCTCATTAACCACACAATTATGGTTATACGGTTCCTTAACTCTGACTAAATCATGAGCTTCAGGAAACTTTATAAACTTGTGATATGAGGACTTACACATTTTCACTAGTGCTTCCAATTGAGAGAAAATACTCTTTAATATTTTTGTTTTCTCTAACCATGTGAGGCAAACTTTCAAAGGAGGCCAACGAGCAGGTAACTGATGTGACCAATCATTTTCTGATAAACCTGATGAAGCTGGTAGACTGCATAATGATTTTGAGATCAGTTTTCTAGTATCAACTTTTCTTTCTTGTAAATAAAGTAAAAATGGCATAACCTTACCTGGCGAGCATATTTGGGTGGAGAAGACATGTTCTTCAGGTTCTTCTTTATCATTCAGCCAACGTAAAATAGCAAAATCCTTTTTCTCGGCAATAATCATACTGAAGAATGGACTCTTGCAGAGAGATGTCAAAAGTTTAATTTCTATGCACTCGGCAATGTATCTTATTAGATAAGAAACAAATAAATTTGTTTCTAGTGAAAGGTAAGAACCTAGTGAAAGGTAAGAAGCTAGTGAAAGGTAACATCCAAAAGATTTACTCTCTCTAAGAGCACACATAGCATAAGAATTACTAGCAAAGCCTTCAAATGCATTATTCTTCAGATAAGGGTATATTGATTGTATTAGCTGACAAACCACATCTTTCTTTTTTACATTCATCTCATGACATATAGTGCTCTCGTGATTTCTTAAATGTCTAGGTATAAGAGAAATATCATCTCTACATTTACCAGTACAGACCTTGTAATTTTTTTCATATCCACTACCCCAGAAACAAATTGTGCATATACAGGTAAAATATTTGTTTGACATAGTTGAAGCCACCCAAGGAAATATTGTGCAACACTGAGATACACAGCTTGAAAGAATGGGTGTAAGTGCCATGGTGCCTTCAAGTTCCTCAACCAATTGTTCATCACGAGACACTATTCTTTTTAAATCAGAGACAGTTGCCGACTGTGTTGACGGTATTCTGTTCTCAGATCCAAGCTTTGTTTCAGGAGTTGTGGTGAATGTAGATATACTTCCTATTATATTATCACTGTTCTTAACAATTAACTGTGATTCCACACAATCCATTAAAAAAGATTTTTCAGTTGACTTTGCATTAACCTCAACATCAGATGCAATAATATTATGATGATTATCTTGCACAGTTAAATCAATCATCAGAAAATCTTCATGCATCATCATCTCATGTCTCTTCATTGGAGGATTTATTGTATCACTACCTGTAAGATCATTTGTTTTAGCCTTTAAATGGGTTTCCATTCGCTCCTCATTTTCATAATCAGAATGGCCTTTTTTCTTTGTCATACTTTGGTTATTATTCGTATGTTCCGATTTTTTTTTTTTTTTTCCCATACATTTTAAAGCCTTCTTCCATCCAGACTGGCCTACTTTCCCTCTCATACTTTGGAAATTAATCCCAGAGTCTAGTCTTGCTTTACCACACTTTAAGAGCTCAAACAAATCTGAAAAGAAAGGAAAATATAAAGAAACTGTTAAGTGCCAGTATAAATGCTGAAGTTTTGCCAAATCTCAACATAAAGTGTGACCTGTGCTCTCCAATCTACCAATCATCAACATTGAAGGAGTGATCAACCAGTGCACCAAAATACATACGGTATAATAGGTGCACTTAAAAGTAAAGAAAGTATAAGTACATTAGATCAGTAGTCTTAAGGGGATATAACAACTGGTACACCAAACTATCTTTTATCCAACCCTAACTATGACATTTCACTCTGGTAATCGCCAAATCTCTTCCACATCTGCTGCAGCATGGTACTGTCATTCGGGTCACTCCAACACCAAGAGGGAATTTGACGAATAGGTGGAAATATTTGACTTATTGTATGGCAACACATAGTGGGATATCAATGGATTACAATATCACAATTTTTATGAGTCATTACACTTCACATGGTAATTTTGAAAGCAAGAACCCCTTTACTTGGCACACACATTCACTGGAAAAATCAGAGGCCATAATGGGTGTACAAACACTCCTCCACAAAAGTACCATTACTTTTTCTGTCTTTACAATCTTAAGTGGTGGACAATATGCTTTGATATATTCTCCAGTGCATCGTAAGTTGGGATCACTGCTCCCCATATCAGTAAATACTTTAATATTCCAAGCATCTCCATTGTTATATTATTACATAATTCTTGTCTTGAGTATTAATTTGCCTTTCATATATAACAATGATCTAGTGTACAGTATAGCCAATATCTGTGGTTGACTGCACAAAATATTCTGAAACAAGTGGAATAAAGCATTTTTCACACATGAAATATTCTGAAACTAGTGGAATAAAGCATTTTTTCACACGAGTTCAGTTCCAACTACAGTATTAATGATGGGGTTTATAAACAATCAGTAGTTTAGGATCTACCAGTACTTGGTCTCCCATGATGTTTTTCTGAAACAATTCTTCTTATATACACAGTGTAATACAGGGGGTCCTCATTACAAGTGGTTAATAGGGACAAGAAAAAAGACACTGATAATGAAACCACTTATAAAGGGGAATTAATTCCCATAAAAATTAATAGGAATAGGGTCTAACGAGGACCACATAGTAAGTGACACTCATAAAGTTTAATTTGGTATCTTGTAACAATTTTATATATATATATATATATATATATATATATATATATATATATATATATATATATATATATATATATATATATATGCAAGTAAATCACTGTAGGTGCGCGTGATCCAGGTATATGCTGATAACCACAAGGAAAAAGAAAACACGAAGTTCCCAAGCGCTTTCGTGTAATTCACATCTTCAGGGGTGAGTACAACTAAGGAGAAGTACAGAACAAGTTATATATATACAGAGGAGGGTGAGATCAAGTCCACAGTGGTCAGGTATAGGTAATGACCCTACTAATCTTCACAAAAGCACCGCAGCGGTCGGTAGTCAGGTCAGAGGGTAAGCTGACCCAACCTTCTCACCTGGTTACAAATCTTCTTAATTACGAAATTATCCAATTTGTACATACCATTACTCAAATTCATGTTGACGGATTCGGTATGTTTAATGAGACTAGATTCTATAATGTTCCTACTGTCAATTGAATTACAAGGTAATATTGAGGAGGCATTATCCCAGTCAATGCAATGCTTATTATCCCTCAAATGAACAAACAGAGCATTGGATTCCTGGCCTGTCCTAACACTATATTTATGTTGTTTAAGTCTAGTTACAAGATCTTTACCTGTCTGGCCTAAGTAAAACATATTACATTCCTTGCAAGGAACTTTATAAATGCAACCAATTGTATTGTTGGGGGAGTTCTTGATTAACATATGTTTAACAGTGCATGAGTTTTTAAATGCAACATTGACGTTCCAGGTTTTTAGTTGTAAAGGAATTTGAGAGAAATTTTTGTGAAATGGTAATACTAAGAGATTCTTATGGTCATGGGTGGGCTTGGGATCAGTTCTATAAAAAGATTTCTTAGTAATGTTCAGGCATTTGTCTGTAAAAGATCTAGGGTATTTAAGGTTTGAGCCAATATCATAGATATATTTATATGCCTCATCAATGAATTCCGGGCTGCAAATTCTCAAGGCACATAAAAACATTGTTGAAAATACTGACTGTTTGACTATTATGGTGGGCAGAATAATAATGAATGTATGAACACACATTAGTAGGTTTTCTATAAATATTGAACTTAAAGGTGTTACCTATTCTGTGGATCAGACATTCTAGGAATGGCAATTTACAGTCATGCTCTAATTCCACAGTGAATTTGATCAAGGGGGCTAAGTTATTAAGTTGTGGCAGGAAAGCTTTTAGGTCCTCATTACTTGGCCAGAGACAAATACATCATCTACATATCTAAACCAGACCGCTGAAGGTGGTAAAATATTACTTAATAGTTTCTTTTCAAAGAATTCCATATATAGGCTGCTTAATACAGGTGAGAGTGGATTACCCATTGCCATACCAAATTTTGGAGCATAATATTCATAATACAGTGATCCCTCGGTTAACGAGTTACCTTCCATAAGATTCTTAACTTCGGCTAACGAGCAATCCCTCAATTAACGAGTTTTTACGAGCCGACCTCAACATGTTTTCGCTTGCATTTGGCGGTCCACCAGCTGCAGTATTAGTCCACCAATACAGTAATCGGTTTTAGGGCTTAAATTCCTTAACATTTTAGTAAATGTCAAGAAGTTTATATTATTCCATAATTTTAAAAGTTTAATATTAAATTTTTTAGTCATTTTAACAATTATTGAACATAATTGAAGGAAAGGAAACTAGTTTCATGCGCGCTATCCAGCCTGGCAACACACCAAACAGGCGCCAGTCTCTCTGTCTTTTCAGTGGAGGTAACATCTTGCTTGAGACTCTCTTCAACTAAATGCTTTTTTCTGTGTTTGCAAGCAAATTATTGGTCATTTTGAAATTTATTTTACATATTGACAATATATAATGCAGTGCAGTGTTGATTTAAAGAAAATAATCTTGAGTTACACCAAGAGAACTAAAATTTTATGGGTGAAATGGTGCCATGGGGTGACTTCTCTTCCACCCCATTGCCTTTTCTTCTCCCTTCTCCTCCACCCCCATTCTAATTCCCATCATCATCATCATCATCATCATCCAGGAGCCATCTACATACACACCTCAAAGTAAGTGTACTTTTCTACCTTTTTTGTTGAATTTAGGCAATTTTCGGTGAGCAGGAACCAATTACCTAAAAACCTATTGAAACAATGGTTTCGGTTAATGAGTTTTCGGTTAACGAGCAACCTGCTGGAACGGATTGTGCTCGTTAACTGAGGAACCACTGTATTTACTTGCATATATATATATATATATATATATATATATATATATATATATATATATATATATATATATATATATATATATATATATATATATATATATATATATATATATATATATATATATATATATATATATATATATATATATATATACATACATACATACATACATACATACATACATACATACATACATACATACATACATACATACATACATACATACATACATACATGACCAGCTCTCGACAACTGCTTCCCAACATGGCGGTGGACACGCGCTCAGTGCAGGAGTACGCACGTGAGCTATACGCAGCAGTGTCACGTAAGCTGAGAATTGCAGAGCCCAAACCCTTCAATGCTTCCTCTGGTTGGCTGCATAGGTTTAAGAAGAGGAACAAGATCACCAACATCAACATTGGTGGTGAGGAAGCGAGTGCTGACCGTGTGGCGGCTAGAGATTTTCCTCCGTTCTTACGTGAGATTATGGAGGAAGGACAGTACACTGACGACCAGGTGTTTAACATGGACGAATCTGGTCTTTTCTGGAAAAAGTTACCTTCCAAGACCTTCGTTGTCCAGTCTGCCAGCAAGGTAAGGGGTCGGAAGTTGCAGAAGGAACGCATCACCGTCCTGTTTACCACCAATGCCTCCGGTACCTGTAAACCAAAGTTATCGGTGATTCACACAGCCCGCAAGCCGCACGCCTACAAGAATATGGACATGAACAAGCTTAATGTCCACTGGCTAACCGCACGTAAGGCGTGGATGTCCTCTTCTCTGTCCCTCTTCTGGTTTGACAACTGTTTTGTTCCCGACGTGAAGAAATTCTGCGAGCAACAGAATGTTTCATTCAATATTTTGTTGCTCCTTGACAACGCACCTGGACACTCGCCCCTACTTATGGATCGTCACCCCAACGTAAAAGTGGTCTTCCTTCCTCCCAACACTACGTCATTAATCCAGCCCATGGACCAGGAGTTGATCTGCAATGTGAAAGCTGCGTACTCTGCAAAGAAGTTCAAGCTCCTGAACGACTCTACCAACACCAAGGATGAGTTGCGTAAGCTGGGTGACACCGACAGCGAGAGCAAAAGCGACGAGGACAAGGAACAAGAGGTGGTGACTCAAGAACTTCTCGTCAAACAATTTTGGAAGAAGTTTAACGTTAAACAAGCTGTAGACTTCTTGGTGGAGGCATGGGATCTGCTGACTATTGCTACGATTCGTCACGCATGGAGACATGTGTTGCATGGCATACCAGGTGAGAGGAGGAGTGAACCTGTGACTGGTGAGGTTCAGACTGTTGCAGTAGCAGTGGACCTTGCCAGAGAAGCTGCGCTCAATATTACAGCTGAAGGCTTCTCCGAGACCACCAACGAAGACATCCTGGAGGTGATCAGAGATCCTGAAGTGACTGCCGACGAGATGTTGGAAGAAGAACACGCCAGTGAAGAGGAGGAAGAAGGTGCGTCATTCTCCGAAGAACACAGTTTAAGTCATAGTGATATTAAGTGTGCCATAGAGTTTGCAGAGAAAATTAAGTCCGTCCTTTCCCGCGACAATGACGATGACCGCTATGAAGTCTTCCATACCCGGCTGGTGCAGGCTATGGAGCCGTACATCACGGTGTATCATGACAACATAAACACCAGCCGTCAAAAAAGCATAACCGAGTTCTTCGCCCGCAACCCACCACAGCCAGCCCAAGCCAGTGATAGTGACAGTGAAGTTGACTTTGAGGGATTTGTCAGGGAAGCCCTGACAACTGTAAGTGACAGTGATGGTGATTCACCTAGTAATGGTGATTCACCTGAGGGCCAGTAATCTGCCCTCTGCCTCGGAACCAGCCTCCATCCCCGTATGCCGACCCATCTCTTCTACTACCGTAAGTGTTCCACCTAACTTTTTAGTTTTCTAACTTAACCTTTATTTTTCCTATGTTAACCTTTATCTTTCCTAACCTAACCTCTTCTATATTACTTGTTTTTTCATACCATCATAAAGTTAAGATAAAATTTTTACTACAACATAGTTATGTGTCGTCAAAAAGTGGAGTTTGGGGGTCGGGCTGGTTTCTATTGGAATTAATCCCATATGTTCTGTTGTTCACTTAACGCGGATTTCACTTAACACGGGACCCTCTGGGTTCAATTGACCGCGTTAAGTGGGGTACAACTGTATATATATATATATTTTTTTTTTTCACATGAAATATTAAACCTAAACTTGCACCTGGGCTCTCACAGCTAGGCACCCAGCCCAGGGTGAGAATAGTCAACGTATATCCACTGTGAAGGGAAGACACCGACACTTCACTTAAAAGTGTCAAAAGTATTCAATACTGTACAATACTGTACTTCCCTCAAGAGAACTTACTACCGGTAATTGTTTCTCTGAGATCCTATTCATGTATATACAGTAGTGTTGTTATATATAATAAAACTTGAAGCAATGTTTATCTCAAGACTTGCCACTTAATATTTCTCCGGAACTATTTGATACTAAACTGAAGACGATAGCAAACCGTATCTTCCACAGTGGCAGTGTTAAAGGTACTAAAATCACTATACAGAAATGATTAAGTTATTAAAAATATGGAGACACAGGCCATTTTAAGAAATTCAGACAAGTAATATCAAGCCACACAAGGTACTGTACTATACAATTTACAAGCAAATAAAACTGAACATATCTCAGATTTCCCTTACCTGGTTGGTTCATACTAGCTTTAAACCTTTCCTCATTTTGTTCAAGCTTATTTTGTACAATTTTCTTCCAAGAGTTCATTTCTGCTGGGTTGAGTATTATGAGTTTTTTGCCACCTTGACCTGTAAGAAATCAACAATTATTACACATGATTCTGAATAAAAATGCAAGCTTGATCCAGAACACCTCATTTTATTATGAGTCTGGACTGGGGAACTTGCATATTATCACACCAAATTTATAGAATCAATACTCATGTAACCCCTAAACAATTGAGGTAGTAGGCAGCTACCAAACAGGGAGGTACTACCGCCTGGGAAGATATTGGAAGCATAAATTGTTGTCTAATGGTAGACCCTAATTTGGCATCACAAAAATTGTGACCAAGTCCCAGGTTGCTGATCTGACTTTCTGCCCCATTTACACACAATTGCAGGGTCTCAATTGTTTCTCTTACTACTGACAACACAACATACATTTATCGTTTCTCACTTTTGATCTTTTTATAATTTTTGTATTTCTTTATGGTTCTTTATTATTAATATTATCATTATTATTTTATTATTTTATTTATAATTTATAATTTATAAATTATATCTGCGGTACTATGAATTATTATTATTATTATTATTACAGTATAGTCTTGATTTACGCGGATTTGGTTTACGCGGCGCATTGCCAGACCGACAATTTTTATTTACACAGTTCATTCCATCATTTACGCGGGAAGCGGCGCAGGCAGGGTGTGCACAAGGTCGCCCAGTCAACAAAACATTACCGAGTTCTTCACCAGCCACCCACCACAGCCAGCCCAAGTCAGTGATAGTGAGGATATGGACTTTGAGGGGTTTGACAAAAAGGCCCTGCAAGCCTCTGTGGTGGATAGTGATACAGGTGATACAAGTGATACAGGTGAGGGCCAATAATCTGCCCTCTGCCTCAGAACCAACCCCAATCCCCGTGTACCCAGCCATCTCTTCTAAGTGTTAAAAAACCTAATATTATTGATATTTCTTTTAAATATTAATTGTGTGTGCATACCATCATAAAATTAAGATGTTATTTTTACTACAACGTACATAATGTAATGTGTCTGGGTGAAGTATAATTTGTTAATTACTGAAGATATTTGCTTTTAGCTCATAAAATTCATAGAAATTACCCGGCCAGAATATAATTTACATTGCTGGAATTATTATAAGATAGTGATTAATTCGAATATAAACAAGAAAATTTGCATTAGACATACAAATTTTAGATCTAATTTTATAATTTTATTAGAGAAAGCAAAATTTTATCTTTTGTGCAAAATATACTGTATGACGTTTATATTCAAATTATTCACAGTCTTGCAAGGAATCCAGCAATGTCAATTACAGTATAATCTGCATTTACGCTGTCAATTGAGCCCGTGGAGGCCTGCATAAAACGAGAAACTCGTAAATTACATAACAGAACATATGGGATTAATTGAAATAAAGACTGGGCCGATACCCAAACTACACTTTTTCCGACACAATACGTACGTTGTAGTAAAAATAACATCTTAATTTTATGATGGTCTGCACACACAATTAATAATTAAGAGAAATATCAATAATATTAGGTTTTTTAACACTTACGTTAGTACAAAAGCTGGGTCGGCACACGTGGATAGCGGCTGGTTCCGAGGCAGAGGGCAGATTAGTTGCCTTCCGGTGAATCACTTTCACTACTCGCAGAGGTTTCCAGGGCCTCCCAGACAAACCCCTCAAAGTCCATATCCTCACTGTCAATATCGCTATCACTGACTTGGGCTGGCTGTGGTTGTGGTGGGTTGCGGGCTAGGAAGTCCTCAATACTACGTTGACGACTAGCATTGATGTTGTCGAGATAGATCTGGATATACGGCTCCATAACTTATAACAGATGGTTATTACTCTTCATACCGATGCTTGTCTGGGTCATTGTCAAGGATGAGCTTAATTTTCTCCCCCAACTCGATGATTTCCTTCACATTATCATGGCTTGGTCCAGGTAATTCAATGTTTTTCTCTGGTGGTAGGGGTCCCGCGGAAGCCATTGTGAGTTGTGAGGGGAATAGCGGGCACAAGAGAGAACTGCATACACGGACTGAAAGCAATGAGACAGGCCCTGCTAAGTCAGCGACTTCTACACTCTGGTGGCAGGGCACGTCATGTTACATTAGACCAATCACAGATAGCGGCGGAGGGAGGTAAGGATGCGTGGCCCAATCACAGTCCGATACGTCATATGACGTCAGCGATAACGTAAGAGCGGCCTAATGTGCATCACTCACTGCGCCGCTTCCCGCGTATGGTCAAGAATGGACCGCGTGGGTAAAAAATGGTGCGGCGGTCTGGACCTCTCCAGCCGCTCGCCACGTAAATGAACACACTTAGCGCGTAATTAAAGCATTTTCATTCTGGCAAGGCACTGCGTAAATGACCAAACGCGTAAACAAAAGCAGCGTAAATGCAGACTATACTGTATATGATCCTAAACATAGTCTGAGGTATTATTTATTACTAAACCTAAAAACCTAGTGTTTTCACCCAAACATTTCTCAAGGGCGGAAGAAGGGGTGGGGGGTGAGGGGGAGGGGGGGAGTGGAGTCCATTATTTGAATGGACATTAACCGATGACTGCATTTCTCTTAAATATTAATTGTGTGTGCATACCATCATAAAATTAAGATGTTATTTTTACTACAACGTACTATTGTGTCGGAAAAAGTGTAGTTTGGGGGTCGGCCCAGTCTCTATTTCAATTAATCCCATATGTCCTGTTATTTCGTTTACGCGTTTCTCATTTTACGCGGACCTCCACGGGTTCAATTGATCGCGTAAATGAAGACTATACTGTATTATATTTTTGCCCCCAGGCCCATATGTGGGTCAGTGACCTGTGCCCGTGTGGGCTAATCCCCGTAAAAAAAAAAATATATATATATGGGGATTCATTCCTGAAATCCCATTGTTAAGCAAATTTATCATGTACGTAGTTAAAATCTTATTATACTGTATTTTGGAACAAATTATTATGACATACGAGATTACGGCTCGGGGACATTCCAGGAATAATTTGTGAAGTTATAATTGGATGTCAAAATGATAAAGCTTACATTAATTGTTAAGCTGAAATGAATATTATATAAAAAATATGTAGTATTGAAATAATACTCATACTCACCACGTTTATGCCATGTCTTTAATGAATACGTAAACAAATATATTCCATATTTACAGCCTCGGTGGACAATGTAGTAAGGCGGGAAACATTCACAAAACAAAATTTTGAACTTTAGATAAACTATAAGCTTCTTGAGTTTCTTAATACCTCTTCTCTTAGTAATTATTAATAAATTGTCATTTGTCATTTATACTCAGAAGGTATTGTCTTATTCAGCACTCAAGAACAAACTATAAAACATTAAAGAGTCCCGTTCAATGGTCATTCACTACGGACAAAATAAAAGAGAGCAAAACTTGGTTAAATTGCTAACTTCTATGAAATCTTAATCAACTAATAATAATTTTAGAGTAACAAATGCCTTTCATATTGTTCCTAAAATAAAGCCACATCCCAATAAGGAAATACTGTAAGCCATATGGAGATTATTCAACACTAGAAGTAAATATTATAGACTTGTGTTTTTGTATCACTTCAGACTAGCCGTTTCTTTTTTTTTCCCTACATGTATTTTTTTTGTCTCTCAAGCATGGGATTTGGGATATAGTTATCTTAGTTTTGCTACCCGTCATGAACCCTTTTACCTACAAAAATATGAGGAAATGCCAGAAAAAAGTTAGGTAGCGAGGTATTTGGCTTAGCAGTTCATTTACATACAGTACCATATGTACTTTAATGGCATCCAACCCACTGGTCTCCCGCCAAGTTGCCAGATACCGCTGTTTGAACTAATAGTCACGCTGAAAACTATGACATCACCTCATTGGGATGACTGCATCTAAGACAATTAGATATAGGGAGGAGGATACATCACCTTGGAAATATCTCATATGCTTGAAAAATACTGATAAACCCTGTACCTTCTAATATATGCCATGTACCCCCTAAGGTCTTCCATAAGCAGCCATGTACCCCTTAAGGTCTTTCATAAACAGCCATGTACCGGTGTACCCCTTAAGGTCTTTCATAAGCAGCCATGTACCCCCTTAAGGTTTTCATAAGCAGTCATGTACCCCTTAAGGTCTTTCATAAGCAGCCATGTATCCCCTAAGGTCTTTTATAAACAGCCATGTACCCCTTAAGGTCTTTCATAAACAGCCATGTACCCCCTAAGGTCTTTTACAAACAGCCATGTACCCCTTAAGGTCTTTTATAAACAGCCATGTACCCCTTAAGGTCTTTTATAAACACCCATGTACAGTCAGCAAAAAAATATTCTGAACCCCTTTGACAAATGGCACCTGCAACGATCACTGACTGAGGCCATGTTAATTTGGTAAGGTTGGTATTTCGGGTTGTGTGATGCATTGTATAACCAGAATGATGTATTTATTATATCACATAGTTAATACAGAGAAATGAACAGGAGTAACCCGCGTAAATGAGTGTTGTTCAGAATTCTTTGTCCGGTGTGTTACATTGTATAACATCATAAAGATGCAGAAAAATCTTTTGTTGACTGTACCTCTTAGTACAATTTAATGAGTTAAGATTTAAAAATACCTATTGAAACATTAACAGTAAAATAGTAGCAGATACATCTCTTATTATTCTAAGAGATATTTAGAGAAACATAACAGTAAATAGATAGGGTGCTGTTTTAGACCGGGTGAACCAGAAAAGAGCCTCTACTGTATGAACAATATATGTATTGGCAGCTATTTCAGTAATATGTACAAGTAAATAAGCCTATATTGGACAGTAAATGATGGGACTTTACTCTCTAGGCCTACATTTATTGACAAACGTAGGAGTAGCCTATACTGCAGTCTTGTTAGTACAGTATTTTCTTTAAAAATGTCATTCTGCCTCGTCAATATTTGCTTTGCAAGATTGTGTCTCATCCAGTACTGCATCGTCTATTAAAATATCTCCGGAGGTGCAAATATTACAAGGGAAATTGCAATGGGATGAGGGAAGAGATGAGGGGTATCTACTGGCCTGACTCACTAAGGCATAAGAACGCAGACACTGCGCTGAATATCATAACTAGTAAAGTGACCCATTTGATCAATAAATATACAGTCGACCCTCGTTAATTCAGACCCCTTTAATCCGGATTTCGGATAATTCGGACAAAATCTGAACAAACTTTTTTTTTTCTTTTTTTTTCTTTTTGTAGGAATATTACCTACGCGGACCTTAAGCTAAAATGCTGGTCTACCCACTGCTGGGATAAAACACCAGCATCTTTTTGGTTAAATGTAACATCTCCACCACTAGTGTGGAGGGGGAATGCAACTTTAGCTTCAGACATGAGGGGTATCTACTGGCCTGACTCACTAAGGCATAAGAACGCAGACACTGCGCTGAATATCATAACTAGTAAAGTGACCCATTTGATCAATAAATATACAGTCGACCCTCGTTAATTCAGACCCCTTTAATCCGGATTTCGGATAATTCGGACAAAATCTGAACAAACTTTTTTTTTTTTTTTTGTAGGAATATTACCTATGCGGACCTCAGATATCACGGCCTATAAGGCGGCGGGGTGCATAAGACGCCCCCCCCAAATTTCCATTTAAAAAGTAGCTTTTGAGCTCTATTTGCTGTATAAGACCAGTACCCCAAATGTGACACTTACCCACTGACTCAGTAGTCCTTTACCAACCATCCTTGATTTTTTAAAATAAGGCCAATTCACTTCAAGTAATGTCATCAAATTATACCCGCTGGTGTAGTGTAAACACTAGTGACGTCACTGAAGCGTGGTGGGAGTGTTCCCTCGTCTCGGTGGTGTGACTATTTATACAACATGTGGTTCAACAGCAACCACCGTATTCTAATTGTGGTGTTTCATTAGGATTTGAGTGAAAAAGGTTACCAGTATGTACTTACTACATACATTTATTACACAAATATATATATATATATATATATATATATATACTGAATATACTATGTACAAAAAATGAATGTTCAATGAATTATTTATGGTGCATTAGGGTACTGGTCACTTCTGATGGGCTATAAATAGCCTTCTTTATCTCCCCTACATCTCACCCTGAGCCAGACGGAAGGGTCTTGGTAAATAACATGTTTGCTTATTTTCCATTTACTTTAAATAGATTTACCGAATTATTTGTTTTATTTATTTATTTATAATATACTGTAATATATTAAACACACTGTAATTATTTTCTTTAATTTATAAACTGTTTTGCGACAAAGGAATGTTCTCCAGTAGTGTTTCATTAGGATTTGAGTGAAAAAATATTACGTACTTACACAATTGTTCCTCTTACTTTGACAACACAACATACATACAGTATATTATTTCTCAGTTTTGATCTTTTTTTTTAATTTTTGTATTTATTTATAGTTAGTTACTTAAAATAAGGCCAATTCACTTCAAGTAATGGCATCAAATATTACCAGCTGGTGTAGTGTAAACACTAGTGACGTCACTTGAGCGTCTGTAATTAACCGTCGATAGTTTCAAGAATTAATGCACTCATTTACTGAATATTCTTTGGAAAAAAATAAAATTTAAATCAATTATTTATAGGAGATAAATATTATTATGAGTAAATATACCGATACCGGTATGCATTACTGACCACCTCCACGGCTCCTCACTGGCAAATGGGGGGGGGGGCGTGGGGAGGGGTGTGTGATGATAGCTGTGTTTATTATAGGGGTATAAATCTCTTTTACGGTATGTTAGACAGGTTTATAATACATTTTTATTATTTTAATATACCGGTAATCTTAATTTGAATCCAGCTTGCCAAACGTAAGTTTCAGTATAAAATAATTAGTGGTAAGACCTTGTGAGTGGCTTACGATGTTTTCATCACCACTCTTGACACACTAAACCACAATATTTAAGAGGTAAGAATTTTAAACTTGGTGGTTTAGACGACCCCCTAACTTTGGGCAGATTTTTTTAATGTTCAAATTTCGTCTTATAGGCCGTGATATACGAAGCTAAAATGCTGGTCTACCCACTGCTGGGATAAAACACCAGCGTCATTTTGGTTAAATGTAACATCTCCACCACTAGTGTGGAGGGGGGATGCAACTTTTAGCTTCAGACATGAAAAATATTTACCATTTACTGCCAGTAAACAATGGAAACGTAAAATATGTACCAATTAGTAATGAAAAGTTGTGCAGTTCCTTCAGCAGATGAAGCTCACCAGGTACTGTATTTGCTTGCATATAAGACGCATTTCCCCCCCCAAAAAGTATCACAAATTACCCTGCGTCTAATGCACCTGTATTACGGATGGGAGGCCGAGCACTGTAGGCGGAGGTGCCTAGCTAGGGAGTCTGGGACGAGCAGTAGTCTATTAAGCACAAAAATTGTGTTACTAATAATATTACTAATAATAAAATACTGAAAAACAAGCCAAATTATCACAATCTATTATCACAAACTTACGGCAAATTTGCCGAAGACGTAAATAATGGCTTACATTGGCTTAACGGCAGAGGGAAGCTCACAACATCTCACTGTACAGTAGCTAAAACAACTACCTGTGCAGGTGGGGGTCAATATACTCCAAAATTTTACGTGTGACTAGTGACAGCCCTCATATACCAAAATTTATCGTCCATGGTCTCATATTGTTTACCACAAAGTACGCACAGATGGTTGTTTAAGCTACTGTACATCCTTCCCCAGCATACGTAATCCACACCAGATACATGTCTTAAATTATTTAACGACTGTGTTACCTTTAAGAAACATTTGTTTATTATCTAAATGAAAAATGACCCTAGAAAGATTAAAGAAATGTTAACAGAAAGTTCAGCCGCCAGTCAGCCATTTGCAATGAGTCGATGACGCCAAAACAATAGCAATGGTGCTACACCCTGGTGGCAGATCATGGCAACACAAAACATCACAGCCAAAAATACGACTATATTTGCTTTGTCTGCATGTGCCAGTATTCACTGATACCAATCTATTTATTTTTAGCTTTGTTAAATTTAATTTCTTTTCTTTTCAAGGTTAGTATAATGTTGCTATACAGAATATGATTTCCTACTTGATTCCAGTATATATTGTATTTACATGCACAAAATCATTTTTTCCCCTACAAAACCACTTTAAAATCACTTCCAATAAATGTATGATGAAACGTACTAAGAAAAAAATCTACAAAAATCCTTGCAAAACAGGGTGCGTCTTATGCAGTGGTGCGTCTTATATGCCGGCAAATACGGTACTGTAGAACGTCAAAGTAAAGCAATAAATTTAAGATTATTGATTTAAAGTGACACCCACAATTAAGGACAATGTTTTAATTTCAAGCGATTCTTTCCTATTTTGCGCGAGTCAATGTTGCGCATCATAATTAAAATTTTGTGCCTAATGTTTCTCTGGGCACACTACACTGTCCTAAGGGCAAAGCTGTACTGTACATGTACTCAAAATAATGTACTAAATGATTACTAAAGTTTTGTCTCATGCAAACTAAAGCATATTTATTCTCAAATTATTCACTATCTCATAAGAATTCCAGCAATGTAAATTATTTTCTCCTTGGTTACTTTTTGACATTTTATAAGCAAAAACATAAACTCAACCTAAAGGACATAAATAAACAAATTAATACTTCATTAGACCTTCGGTGCCAACTGTCAAACATGTCACTATCACCCCGCATCTTCCCAGCTATAATTTGTATTGCTGGAATCCTTGCAGATAATTTAAATATAAACGTCATATATTTTACACAAGAGATAAAAAAATTTAAAATTAGAACTAAAATTTGCATGTCTAATGCAAGCTATAGCATGTTTATATTCAAATTAATCATTATCTTATAAGAATTCCAGCAATGTTAATTATATTCTCCCATGTCAGTTCAGTGACATTTTATAAGATAAAAACTTGAAGTCACTCTTAAGGACAGATAAATAAGCACTAGACCTTAGCATCAACTGTCAAACATATCACCTCACCTCCCTCTCCCCCCCCCATCTTCCCAGACCATTTAGCATCCCATAATTTTAGCTGTGTTGATTTATGAGTGTTTCTTTTAACATAATACTACAAAAAACAATGTTTTGTTTATTCTAGGAGATGGGTTGAGGTGCATCTGGGTGGACTCAGTCATTTTAGTATTTTGTGTTTCTCTCAAGTACCAAACTAAATTATTCCATTGAAACAACACTTCGATTTTGTGCGAATTCAGTTTAAAGCGACCTCTCTTGGAACATATCTCGTGTTATATGTGTTATATCGACTTTCTACTGTACTTAAAAATTCTGATGGTATACATAGTTATAATGTAACGATCTGAATGTTCCTGAATTATTTATGGCCTTTATTGGAACAAACTGAGCCATTATTATAATTATGATGTATTGATCAACTATAATAATGTAAACTTTTTATAAAACCTATTGTTTGCACAATAAACCTTGAATTAATACCAATTTCAATTCCAGATATAAAAACTTCATGATATTAACACTTAGAAAAAAGTGCAGATGGTCGAAATGGCCATAAAATGGATCTTGTTTTTCAAGTGTCCAAATGACATCTCTAGAAAACCAGAAGCAAAATCCAAATTCACACATCGAAAGGGTTAAAGAATCAGATATTGGTAGATAGATATACACAAATGAACAATGAACAGAAATTTCTTATGACTAAACTATGATGATACATCCAACTTACTTTTACTCTTCAGAAACAAGTTTGAATTTTTCCCATGACCTGTTGCCAAACTGAGTTTTGCCCTCCAATTCTGGGACATCCATGCCTTCTGGTAATATGGGAAGAGGGAACTGAAATGAAAATATGATATATTTAGCGAAGGAGTTACATAATAATTTTAATATACTGGTAAGCATTTCAAAAATGAGACCTTCAGTTTATTGTAATTTAGGTCTAACCCACCACATGCACAATGTATAAAAGATATGCAAAATAAAAATAATATATTTCGGTAATGGTATTGAAGTACGGTACTGTATAACACAAACAGTGATACAGAAACTGAAATACAGTATATTTTTCAATAAAGAAGACAGTAGGTATAGGAGTTATTTGTGAAATGGGAAGAAACTAGATGCCCTCAGTAAGAGACAAACGTTTTTGCAATTTAAAAAATTCATGCCTCCAATATGTATGAGTAAGTTTCAGAATCTTTTAAGAAAAGCTGTACCTGTACAGTATAAGATTTTAAAGTAAGACCCCCCCAGTGTTGAGTAAGGTAAGGTCACAAGGTCAGACAAGCCAACACTGCATTATGCTCATGTAAAAGGCATAAAAACAGGTCACTCTGGAGGGGTACAATCATCAACAACATGAAAAGGCCTTACTGACTCTCCTCCTTTAGTTAATAATCTTTCTTCCTTTCTCTTTGCCACATTGTTGCTTCACTCTGTCTCTTTTACAGGTACTTTAACAGGTAATGCTCGGTGGATTTGCCCGCAGTGCCCACCATTTCTCTGTGGATGTCGGTCACACAAGCATAACCCGTTATAGTACATCCTTCTTTCCTCACACAGTCAAACTGTGGAATTCTCTGCCTTCCTCTGTGATTCCATACATATACAATCTGTCTCATTTCAAAAAGATGGTTTTCCAGCATCTTTGTGGTGTAGATTAATATAATCTTTTTCTTTTCTATTTTAAATTTCTTTTTACTCTTATTTTTTTGCCCCCTAGGCCCTGTTATGGATCAATGACCTGCACTCAGGTGGGCTATTCCCATTATTTAAAAAAAATAAAAAATAAATAAATAAGTAAAAATTTTAAGTAAATTGTTTAACATGGGATTGTATTCCTGAAAACCTAATTTTATGCGAAATTATCGATGAAAACGATGGAAAACAGCGAAGCACCAAGGGCGAACAACAGGATCAAACGGCAGGACAGTAAACACTGAGTATACTGTACATGACATACTCCTGGATAAAAAAAAAAAAAAACAAGATTATAAACAGTTTTAAAGTTAAACAATTGATTTATTAAAAAAAATTCTATATGAACAATGTGGTTCATATAAAAACAATTTAGTGAGTACCCCCCACCCTGTACAGTACAAGGTGCACCTAATTCACGCAAATTTCAAATTGAATAAGTAAAAAATTAAGAATTTTTTAAGGATAAACAATAAAATTGATACATATAGTACAGAACTGGCCCTTTAACCGTTGATTCCTTCTGGGTTAATGGGGCTGAAACATGTAGAAGTATACAAGGTTTTAGTAGCAAAACCCAATTGTCTGTTCTCTATTTATTGAGGAACTATCTCGTATACAGTTCCAAGTGTATATCACCGTAACTTAATCACTGTAGCTATGAGTGTTAAGAGGAGGATGGAGGCTCTATTAAAGAGCTCTTCTAAATACGTCCGGTTGGTGTGAGGTGTTGAGTGACAATCCCGAGGCAACCGACTTTTATACGTTGACCTCATCAGTCTTAATGCTGTGCCTCAAGGAACTTACCCATCACCTGATGTGACCATGTCACCTCATAGCCAATGGAAAGTTACTGGGGGTGATATGATTATATATACCCAATGTACTGCCATGACATTTATATAAGAACTAAGGGGCTAATACATCAGCATATCATAAAGTACAATAACACACACAGGCTACTGTACTGTATTTTATTTAAAAAATAGCACATACAGTCGACCCTCGTTAATTCGGACCCCTTTAATCAGGATTTCGGATAATTCGGACAAAATCTGAACCCTTTTTTTTTTTTTTTAAGATTTGTAGGAATATTACCTATGCGGACCTTAACCTAAAATGCTGGTCCACCCACTGCTGGGATAAAACACCAGCGTCTTTTTAGTTAAATGTAACATCACCACTAGTGTGGAGAGGGGATGCAACTTTTAGCTTCAGACATGAAAAATATTTACCATTTACTGCCAGTAAACAATGGAAACATAAAATATGTACCAATTAGTAATGAAAAGTTGTGCAGTTCCTTCAGCAAATGAAGCTCACCAACTTACAATAGGCTAAATTACCTTACAACGTGTTTTCAGTAGTCTATGTTGAAGTTCTTTGCACAGGCTAACTTATCATATCATATACGGTATCACAGTTCTCATTGATCTACAAAAAATACCGGTAATAAAAACCTTTTTGATATTTCACACTTAATATAATACCCGGTAATCTACTTCAACCTCCTATTGTTTACAACGACGCATGACGCACCACCAGCTGTTGAGTATCAGCTAGACGGTACACGTGTTTTTTGAATCATTTTCAGTTAAAAAACTGTTACATCACACGTATATTTTACCTAAACTGCGCCTGAATGAATATATTCTCGGAAATAAATAGTAACTTTGCTGAAACGTGATGTATTTTAATGTAAAATATAATAAAATACATGAAGAAAACAAAAGATTTTACCTAACCTTCCGATGTTCAAGAGAAGTTACTCGTTATTTTTAATAGTTTTTGGTTAAAGTACTGTTATAATACAATGGTATTCTATTCATACTGTGATTGATATAATGCATTCACGGAAATGTAATATTTTTGCTGAAATGACATACGTATTACAGTGGAAAGTTGGATAAAATCATGACGAAAACAATGACTTTCGCTTTCTTTCGTTCAAAAGATGTTACCTTAATTGCTTTTCGATTGGTTTTCCGTTAAAAAACTGTTGTATTACAATAATATTCTATCCTAATTGACTTGAATAAATACTACGATACCATATTTCTGAATATTTTCATTAAAATCCATCCAAATTATTTTCCTTGTCATCGTCTGCAGCACCAAACAGCTTCTCCTAAGCTTCCAATGTTCTTGAGATGTTATTCGGTTTTTTTAATAGTTTTCAGTTAAAATACTGTTATATTACAATGATATTCTATTCATACTGTGCTAGATATAATATTCACGGAAATGTAATATTTTTGCTGAATTTACGTACGTATTACAGTGGAAAGTGGGATAAAATCATGAAGAAAAACAATGACAAATATAATGCAATATTAACCCATTAATCGGTTAATTCGGACAATCGGCTAAAACGGACACCCTTCCCCCCCTATTAGTCCGAATTAACGAGGGTCGACTGTACTGTAAAATACATAGCCTTTAATTTTTGTTTGGTTGTTATCAGTCTTTACTGCCTTTGTTTAATATGTAATGAATACAGTATTTTTTATTTGACATCAAAGAGTGAAGCCAGGAAGGAAGAATTCATTATATGTTTGAAATCTATTTGTATGCTGCTTTTGAATACCAGTAACGCATACAGTGTTTGCATGTTGGATGGATAAATATTTCAATTTGCTTGAAGATTTAATGATTTACAATATACAGGACTACAGGTACACAGTAATCCTGAGGTTTTCGCATTTTTTTATCACGGTTTTGATCATTCGTTGTTTTTTAACTAAAAAAGAGAAAAAAAAAAAAAAAAAATTATATATATATATATATATATATATATATATATATATATATATATATATATATATATATATATATATATATATATATATATATATATATATATATATATATATATATATATATATATATATATATATATATATATATATATATATATATATATATATATATATATATATATATATATATATATATATATATATATATATATATATATATATATATATATATACACACACACAGGTAGTCCCCGACTTACGACTGCCGCAGTTGTGACCATTTTTTTTTTCTCCAAATGACACACGCATTTTCTATACCGAAACGTTTCCAGTTAATGTAGTCTCCATGTATAATTAGAAAATTATGGGGGCCCCATGTGCATTCAGCTGACTACATTAAAGGTAAGTGCTCAGTCACACTGTATCCATTCCTCAATATTTATTACTTTTACTGTACTGTATTTCATTGTAGATTTTTTATTTAAAAAGAAATTTGAATTTCTTTTTATCTATGTCAGATTGACGACCATTCGGAGTTAAGACCTGGATTTGGGTCCCTAACCCCGTCGTAAGTCGGGGTCTAGCTGTATATATATATATATGCGCCGGTTAACGTCCGATCGCATATACATCCGTCCCCCCAAAAAAAAAATCCGTGACTCCTGCTGGACCACCACTCCACGACCCCCTGACGGAGACACGGTGATCCTCCCCATAATGGTCAGATATTATGTGTTAAAGGAATATGCTTCCTTCCTTAGGCTTTTTTTAAGCATTTGCCTCCAGGTGTAATGTTAACCTACATATATTGAGGATAAAATCTTTCACCTACAAATTGACAATAACACATTTGCTGTAATCAGACATATTTAGTTGCCTCAACAATTGGGGTTGCAATTTCAAATTCTATGGCATTACTAAGAATAACAAAGTCTCTGGCGCACTCTAAGATTAAAAGAGAAAACAGAGGACTCAGGTGTCCTGATGTGAGAGAAAACGGACTCGTATGATGGCGGACCAAATAAATAAAGCATAGCTACATGTTTTGTGGACTACAGTATTAAGCGTACCCTTTTCATCACTTTGTAATAAACCTAGCCATGCCTGTGTGTGTTTATGATATTTACCATAACATTATATATATATTTCGTGGGTCTAAATGGTCGTAAAATGGGAAACTTGGGGTTGGGTCTTGGGTGCCTGGAACCAATTAGAATAAATCCCATAGACTCTGTACTTTCGTTATCGCGTTTTTCGTTATCACGCACTCGGCGCGGTCCCGATTAAGCGCGATAACCTGTAACTGTGTTTACATTTTTCCATTATTATACTACAATATGATTAGTTTCAAATAATGTTAGTAAATGCCGGTACAGTGCATCAGTGATCAGTGTGACCATTGGGCCGTGAGTGGAGAGCATGGCGTGGTTAAGTGCATGACCTACCTGAGCTGTTTGGTGGCCACAGGTACAGTGATTCCAAAAAGAGTATTCGGGGTTTCAGGAACGTAATTCCCGCGAAAAACAATGGATTACTGCACATAATATACGGCAATTACTGTAGTACATACCGTATATAGGCCCTTCCCTCTTATTAGCTTTAAGCCCATCACCACCTTAATCTGGCCCTGATGACTACTACCCAGTCTGGAGCTATGAATTGCAATGGTTTACACAGCAAACCCTCCAAAGTTTGGAATAATAGAGGCTCAAACCTCACTTAATTCAGTTGGATTCTAAGTTAGGTTCAATTCTGTAAATACAGTACAGTACCTGTATTTTACTATATTTTTAAATACAGTATTCCAAATTAGATGTTCCATTCTGAAAAATTGCAATTTGTAATGATTTTGCAGTGCACTGTAATTCAAATAGCTTACCACATTTCATACCCATTAGTTTCAATCAACTATTACTAATAAAAAATAAAGAACAACAGCATTCTTTCTAAGGCTGCTCTAAATTGCTGAGAGGCCAATTTTAAACCAAAGTCAGAGAATGTATCACTCTAACAAATTATTCACAAACAAAGTACGCACAGTGAAAATACTGCAAAATAAATTCATCACAACAAATAATTCAGAGAAAATGCAATCAACAGTACAATCTCTATAAAATAATGTGTATCACACAATCTGGAATAGCAAAAGAGTCCCGGCCCTGACATGGTGCATCCCAGAGTGCTAAGAGAGTTGTGCAACGAGCTTGCCGAGCCCCTGAAGATCCTGTTCTGTAAATGCTTGGATGAGGAAACAGTCCTCAGGGATTGGAAAAATGGCTGATGTGAGTCCTATCTTCAAGAAGGGCGATCAACACTTCACTAACAACTATAGACCGGTGAGCCTGACCACCATAGAATGCAAAGTACTTGAGAGCATTATCAGAGATGCTGCGATGGAACACCCACTACAAACAACCTTGTAAAGGATTGCCAAAACGGTTTTATTCCGGGACGCTCCTGCTTAACAGAACTGCTCAAGGTATTGGATATTTGGACCCATATTCTGGAACAGGGTGGTAATATCGACAATATATATACCTAAATTTTACCAAGACTTTTGACAGAGTACCCCATGAAAGGCTGAAAATGAAACTGGAAGGGTATGGAATTCGGGGAAATGTCCTAGCGTGGACAGAAGACTTTCTGCATGACCGCATGCAGTGTGTGGTGATTAATGGCACGAAAATCATCATCTGTACCTGTCATGAGCGAGGTGCCAAAGGGTAGTGTATTGGGCCCGCTGTTGTTTGTTTGGTTCATAAATGACATGCCTGACGCTGTACACTCCTCCATACAAATGTTTGCGGATGACGCTAAGCTAGTCCGATAAATCAAGAACCAAGCGGACTGTGAAGAGCTGCAGAAGGACCTCTGTGAGTTCCAAAAATGGTCGAAGAAATGGCTGTTGAGATTCAATGTCACAAAGTGTAAGAGGATGCACCTGGGGCATACCAATGGTAAGGGGGCGTATCATATGTCCAAACGGGTTGAAGAAACTGTACTATTTGAGACTGAATGTGAGGACCTAGGTTTATATGTTGACAATGAGCTGAAGTTCTCGGGCCATTGCGAGAAGAAGGTAAATCAGGCAAATAAATTATTAGGTCTTATAAGAAGGTCGTTCAGATATCTAGACGGTCCGTCCCTCGTAACGATCTTCAAGAGTGAAGTGTTTCCCCATCTGGAGTACTGTCACCCTGTCTGGTCCCCGAGATATATCATGGACTGTCAGTTGATTGAAAATGTTCAAAGGAGGGCCACCAGACTGGTGCCTGCACTTTGGCACCTCAGCTGCCCTGAGAGATAAGAGCACCTGAACTTGTTTAGCTTATACTACAGATGGGCAAGGGGCGACCTAATTGAGGTGTATAAGCAACTCAAGGGGCACTACTCATTCGAGTATCCTTACCTGGAGCTGTAGGACGCTCACCCCACAAGGGGTCACAGCTCAAGGCTGAAGAAGCCGCAGGTCCAGAAAACTGTGAGGGCAATCTTTTTCGGAGTGAGAGTTGTGAACTCTTGGAACAATCTGCCAGAAAGTGTTGTCATGGTACTGAGTGTGAACTCTTTCAAAACCAGACATGACCAACACTGGAGCAGGTTCAAGTACATTCAGGAGCCGGTGCATGCCCAGTACTTGCCAACAGTGCGTAACAACGACATGACCGATTGCCCAAGCTGCTAACGAGCCGATCAATGGTGAAGAGGATAAAAACAAAAAAGCACTTGAAGACAAGTGTTTGCACACTTAATTGAAACTACCACAAACAGGAATAGGAATCACATGCACAAATATGTAGTAATACTCACTCTACCAAAATTGTGCTCATTAACCAACTTAATCAAACATGACTGGCCGACACCCGTTCACTCTGCCTGTGAGAAATAAATTCCTTGTGAGATATGACAGATCATGTATTGAATAGCTAACCTGTAGGCCACAAAAGCAAGCCACATGATGGTTACACAAAATTGGAAAGTTTGGAGGCACCCTGTGGTTAATAAATGCACAAGTTAGAAAGCAGTTAAATCACAAAAACAGGACTTCAACCATATTTAACTTACAAGAAGGATGAGAATTGAATGATGACATCTATATAAAGAATTCATAAAAACGATGATGAATGATGAAGGTAATTTACACAGCACTTTAGTGGAAACATACCATAACAAATTCTTAATTCCAAAGTAAGTTTGAGACTTTAACTCTGTATTTTGCAAGATAAGAAGCACCAATGTTGATAAAGTGGCTGGTGCTTTTGGAAAATCTTTACCATCTGGAATGGGTAACTGCTTGGGGCACACTAGCACCTCTCCTTCATTCACCTGAAAAATAAGAATAGGATAGAATACTTCTTGCAATATGGGAATAATTATTGACAAGTATTTTCATACATCAAAAGCATTCCTACGCATGTCTCGAGATTTTGTACACATTATAGAAGTGTGTGTACATGTATGTGTGTAGTTACATGCAAGTTTGTGAGGTCTGATTTGTATTATGCATGTGTGCTTATGTGTTCATTTTAACATACATAGTCCAAGTTACATATATATTTCTGTTAAGTTAAAAATAACATTATTACAACAGTCCTGCCTGCAATCATAAATTTGAGATTTTGTCCACCAAAAACTCACCATCAAGTTACAGGTGACCCTCCTCTTTAGTGAGGATTGTGTTCCTAGAAACAACTGATAAAGTGACTTGGGACATAAATGAAGATATATGTCCATAGAAAAAAAAGGGGGAAGGTTAACACTCCCAATTATTGTACATTCATAGTACTGTACAGCCTTTGGTAATGGTACAGTACAGGCATCTGCTGTGTTATGGAAGAAATACTGTATACATTTTTGAAAAAGTGAAAACATAACTTGAAAATTAGTACAGTACTACAAAATCAATTTTTAGCCAATAGACAATGAATACAGATAAGAAGAAAATAAACCTTTTAAAACACAAAATACATAATACTGAAAGTGGTTAATTGAATATTTTATGATAGAGTATAGGACGGTAAGACACAAAAGACTAACATATAACTGTTACATGCACACACAATTGTTCATACAGAATGTGCAAAAAAAATTAAAGAAATGATTATCATAAGGTCAAAATCATAAAAAGAATAAACATTTCTTATGTCCGTGGGAGTTAACCCATGATCATGGGAGGAGGAGGGAGGGGCATGCACTCCTGTGTGCTTAGTGAAACGATTGCCATATGGCACTGCACTATGTACCTCGATTTTTGGCACTTGGGGTCATTAAATGGATTTTGTTAAAATTTTATACAAAGGTACTACTTTACATGCTGATTAAGGAATTGGGTTCACAATTGAAAAATTTGGGTAACTATTGTTAGTTAATGACCTTTGAAATAATTAAAGAAAAATTAGAATACAGGTATTAGAATTAGAATGAGTCAATTACCTTTATATATATTTTCTTAAAAATATTAACTAATTTTACTTTTTAAACATGTCAGTTTTCACTTTCCAAAAAAATGTCGTTTCACATAAAAAATTCACCTGACCTAGGCAAATAAATTATTGGGTCTTATAAGAAGGTCGTTCAGATATCTAGACGGTCCATCCCTCGTAACGATCTTCAAGAGTGAAGTGCTTCCCCATCTGGAGTACTGTCACCCCATCTGGTCCCCGAGATATACTAAGGACTGTCAGTTGGTTGAAAATGTTCAAAGGAGGGCCACCAGACTGGTGACTGCACTTCGGCACCTCAGCTACCCTGAGAGATTGGAGCGCCTGAACTTGCCTAGCTTATATTACAGACGGGCAAGGGGTGACCTAGTTGAGGTGTATAAGCATCTCAGGAGGCACTACTCAGTCGAGTGTCCTGACCTGGAGCTGGCGGACGCTCGCCCCACGAGGGGTCACAGCTCAAGATTGAAGAAGCCGCAAGTCCAGAAAACTGTGAGGGCAAACTTTTTAGGAGTGAAAGTTGTAAACTCTTGGAACAATCTACCAGAGAGAGTTGTGACGACACCGAGTGCGAGCTCTTTCATGAAAAGACTTGACCAACACTGGAGCAGGTTCAGGTACATTCAGGAGCCGGTGCATGCCCAGCATTTGCCAACAGTGCGTGACAGAGACGTGACCAATCGCCCGGGCGGTGAGCGAGCCGATCAGTGGTGAAGAGGATAAAAGTAAAAAGTAATACAGTAGCTGCATTTTGTCTTTTCCTTTAATCATTAGTATTATTTTTATTCATTCCTCACATTTTCAAAGGAATACATTAGACTGCAGAGGGATAAAGACACCACACTAACCCACGGATACTGTATTCAAAATTCAATGCTGTCGTTGGTGAAATGGTATTGAGTAAAATCGGACTCCGCGGATGGGAAATCTGCAGTAAGCAAGGGTCTACTGTGCTCTTCAGTATTAAACACGTAATTTTAGTTAATTTTTTTCCAGGGTGTGTATACGTGTTTTGTCAAATATGAGTGTATTAAATCACATACCAGGTAATAATTATTATACTTTACCGTTAATCTGCAATTTAATTTTTAATTACCTTTAGATAAAATTTCAGTTAAAAACATGGTAAGTTGCCATAATACTGTACATAAAAGAGAAGCAACAAACCTGATGGGATGTACCAGCAGTAACCACCTCTGATGACCCATGTGAGAGCTGTGTTGTAGATCTGCCTAATTTATCCAGTTTAATAAGCTTTGCAATATCTTTATGTAGATTATTATATGAATCCATTATTCAAACACCGCATAAGACACTCCTATTTCAGTATCTATAGTGACTTCAATGTTAAGATTTTGAGGCACGAAGTTATTAATGTACTTAGCAATATATAGTACTGTACTGTATTTCAACCATATTTTTCAATCTCCTCTGCCACCATGATAAAGACTTCAGATAGACTTCCAGTCAAAATCCATATGTATCCTGAAAAAAATGAAAGGTCTAAGTACTGTATACAAGTTAGTTAAGTTTCTTAAGTACAATACCTGTGACTCAGCAGGTTAGTCTGCTACAATGCTACATCCCAACTCAGTCCAATAGTTTAACTGTAGTACAAAGTCAATCCTTCATCAAGGGTTACACAAATTTGGCCTATATGGCATAGGAACTGAAAAGGCAATTACAATAAAATGCATGACAAGGAATTAATATTTCTCAAAATATTAAAGCCATTGTCCAAAGAGTTTCAAATCTTAGACTGTAAAAGAAGGAGAGTGAGGTGTACTATATAGTAAGTATCATTTTACAAAAGCATAATAAAGGACAATTGTGGGTATATCAGATCTGAGACTTAAAGATGGTACAGTACATGTACAGTAGTTGTGTGCACACACACCATGTCAAAGCAGAGGGGTTAAATAATTTTTTTTTTTCACAAGATGATGCAAATAACCTACCTAGCTACTGGTACTTTCCAGGAAAAGTAGTTTGGTACAGCACTGGGGTAGGCTATAGAGAGTTCTCAAATGATACATTAAAAATAAATCATCTAAAGTCAACACCCATAAAACCCTTGGCCCTGATAGTGTACATCCCTTAAGTGTTAAAAAGAGTTGTGTAACACTGTACATCTCTCAGAATCTTGCTCTGCAGAAGTAAAGATGAAGAGATTCCCTAATAACAGAATACTGTACAGGAACAGAATATGTTACTTCTATATATATATATATATATATTTAAAAAAAGTGATCACCACTGAACAAATAATTATAGGTCAGTGAGTTTAACCTGCACAGCAAGTAAAAAGCAAGAGATACACAATAGCTCTTTCAAGACAAGACTTGACCAACACTGGAGCGGGTTCAGGTACATTCAGGAGTTGGTGCATGCCCAGTATTTGCCAACAATGTGTGACAGAGACGTGACCGATCGCCCGGGCGGCTAGCGAGCCGATCAGTGGTGTAGAGGATAAAAGTTTTAAAAGTTAGAACAACCTTGAAAATGAATACTACCAGTATGGATTATGCCTGGACTTTGTTGTTTGACACACGTGCTGGAGGTACAGTCAGCCAAAGATGTACCGACCCCACTCCGAGTCTCATGCTCGCAATTTTACCTGGCAATACTTGGTATAGGAAGGCTGTATGTAAAGGTGATTGTAATTGGTGGATCTGTTTTTGACTGTATCACTGTCAAGATAAATATTAAACAAACCAAAGGTAGAATTTTTATAATAATAAACTATTCATTGTTATTTAAGGTCATGAGAATTTTTCAAATGTTTGTATATTTTAAATAATGAAGAAAATTTTACATGGCAAGAAACAAACGGCGATCTCATTGGGCGTGTTTATTACAATTCATATTAGACTGTGTTTGTTCATTGTTTTCTAGAGATGTTGTTTGGATGATAGTAAGAAAGAAAATTGAAAAGACAATGCATAGGTTAAGAAGTTCAGTGAGGTTAGGTAGTTTAGGCAAGGTTCAAATAGGTTCTGTGCTTTATCATTTCCATTTTCTTACTTAGTATCATGCAAACAACATCTGGAAATTTGTGCAATTTCATAAAGTCCTTCTGGTGCTAACCATCTGCTCCCACCAATACCCCAAAATTTCCTCAAATCAGTACAATGGCATTATTTTAGTTTCAGTCATCTGGGGAATCTCAGGGGATAGGTTAGATATAGGTTAATGGTTAATATATAGGACTAACCCACGGACGAGTTATTTGTAGTACTGTTTATTTTCTTACTTTATTTTCAGCAGTGAGTTCTGATATGGTAATCATTTCTAGTGCAAATTTTCGTTTTGTAGATAATTTGGCACTAAGGCGAGCACTAATTTGTCTTCCCGGCGGTAAGGCCGCATGCTGCGGCACTTTTCGCTGGGATCGAAGCAGTTTCAAGCATGACTTGTGAAGGTTGTCGCCGGTCTCATATGGACGTAATTTGCAAATTTAGGGATCAAGAAAACGAGACCCTTCAATTTTTCAAAGACCACGTCATTGTTCCATTACATAGAGACTGTCCACACTGCGGGAATCCCTGTGCTTTCAGACTAGAAAGAAATTTGTTCATCACTTCCTCAACACCATGGCTCAACATTTCCAACCATCACAATAAATCACTCCGCCACTTTGGCTGCTTAAGCCGTGATGCGGCCGCATGATCTCATGTCCAGAAAAAGCCTCAATTTACACAATATCATAGTAAGTTCTTTCTGTTTAATATACCGGGGGACCAGGTGGCTTCGGTAAGGAAGTTAGGTAAGGTTAGGTAGGTTGTCTCTTTTTCATACCCACAAAAGTTAAGTTATTATAGAAATAACCATTTTTTAACACATTTGCACAAACTACAACAGTGTCCACTATAAAAAACCCAGTGAAAATCCAGGGTTTTAAATTCGTTTTCCATCAATTTCGGCTGTGGGTTAGTCATGAATAATTACCAGGTTAGGTCAGGTTAGTTTGTAAATTAAATACAGAGATGGCAGAGACTATAATGGTACTATTTTTGTTTCGGTCATCCGGGAAATCTTAAGAGTTTGGGGGGGCTTCGCCCCTCTTCACAACTTGGTGTTCCACACTATTACAGAATTTAATACTAATAACATTGAAAGTTTATTTAGACTGAAAAATTACAGTACAATGTGAATACTAATACTATAGTAGAGTCGAATAGGGCCTGATATTATTCTGCACGTTATCAATGACTCAAAATGGAGTCCGGACAAAGCCCCATTCGGTTAGGTTACTTCAAGGGAGTTTTGTCCTACACACACTCAAAACAAATTATATTCACTTACCCTGTTGAGTTTCCTTTTTTATACAAATAATATTACTTCAGTCTTTTCAAAATGTGTTGATAATTTGTTGTCCATCAGTCATTGTTCGGTCCAACGAATTACCAAAAAAGTATATTAAATCAGGGTAAAATCTTAACGAATATATGTTTTACAGCAATAAACCCTGATTAATAATGTTTTCATTGAAATGTAATCAAAATAATGAAATAATAAACAGCGAAAAACGTTAAATTCCAAAGAGTCACCTATCCAAAATGGAGATATAATTACCGATGTTTCTGTTACTTTGGGGTATTTAACATAGCCGTAGGATTCACTTTTCGTTAGGTTAGGTTAGGTTAGGTTAGGTTATGGTTAAGGTTAGGTTAGGTTAGGTTAGGTTAGGTTAGGTTAGCGAAGTGCATCAAGATGGACCTGAGTTATCTCCCTTGTTCATGAACTCTTTGGAATTTAGTGTTCTCCAATGCTGAAAGTTTTTCGTTGTTTATTATTTCATCTTACAAATTATTTCTACAAAATTACACTAAAAAACATTATTAGACATGTTTTGTGTATGTTTAACAGATATTCGTTAAGATTTCACCCTGACTTAACATACTTTTGGGTAATTCGTTGGACCCATCATTTTGAGCAGAGTTGGTTATCATATAATCTTACTTGGTCTAGTGGCATGCTGAACCTGCTCCAGTGTTGGTCAAGTCTGGTCTTGAAAGCAGACACACTCGGTGCCGTCACAATACTTTCTTCTAGATTGTTCTCACTCAGAAAAAGTTACCCCTCCCAGTTTTCTGTGCTTGTAGCTTCTTCAACCTTGAGCTGTGTGGTCCTTGTGGGGCGAGCATCCGGTGTTGTCTTATCTGATCCACGCCTTACCTTGTGCTGCGTACACTCGTCTGACCTTAGGCAAATGAAGTGTTAAAAGTATCGTCCCCCAACAACAGTGGACTGGTTACTCCTGCACAGTTCTACCCGCCGCTACAGTCGCCGTTGTTATCGCCTTATCTGACACTTGGGAAACGTCACATAGAGAAAACGTGTACTGTACAATTATTAGTACCTGAATTAAACAGGATTTAATTAGAAAATATTCAAAGACGATATTTTTTGATATTGAAATACGTTTTATTTTGTTATGGCATAAGAAGGTTTAGAAAAAAAGAAATTTGTAAAAAAAAATTGCATATATTCCCCCATTTTGCAATGAAATAGTAATAAACAATACATATGCATGGTGTAGTGGACGTCCACTACAATGGCATTTACAATTAATCATTATTGATTTTTTTACAAACCAAATCAAATTTTCACTTGGCTCGTATGAAACACATCCTCCACATTTGGCAACCATTTCACATGAAATGATTAGAGATGTTAAACTCTGCGTAGAAAGAATATTACTTTATTTTATCCTCTTCACCACTCATTGGCTCGCTAGCCGCCCGGGTGATCGGTCACGTCTCTGTCACACACTGTTGGCAAGTACTGGGCATGCACCGGCTCCTGAATGTACCTGAACCCGCTCCAGTGTTGGTCAAGTCTTGTCTTGAAAGAGCTCACATTCTGTGCCGTCACAACACTTTCTGGTAGATTATTCCAAGAGTTCACAACTCTTACTCAGGAAAATTTTGCCCTCACAGTTTTTTGGACTTGCGGCTTCTTCAATCTTGACCTGTGACCCCTTGTGGGGCGAGCGTCCGCCAGCTCCAAGTAAGGTCACTCAACTGAGTAAATAATAATAATAATAATAATAATAATAATAATAATAATAATAATAATAATAATAATAATAATAATAATAATAATAATAAGCGGTTTATTAATAGAGTTGCAGCCGGTGGCTGAAAATATACAGACTTAAATTTGATTAAGACATAATGCTATAATATGCGTTGAATACATTTACAGGGCTGTACAGCACATGAATCAGGAGTTGTTAATTATTTTAACAATAGAAGGGATGGTGCTATTCTTATATCTATCAGTGCGGGCTCTTATGGGCTGAATTTTGTTGTAGTGGCGGAATAGTGCCCCTTGAGATGCCTGTACACCTCTATTAGGTCGCCCCTTGCCCGTTTGTAGTATAAGTTAGGCTAGTTCAAGCGTTCCAATCTCTCAGGGTAGTTGAGGTGCCGAAAGACAGGCACTAGTCTGGTGGCCCTCCTTTGAACATTTTCAACCAACTGACAGTCCCTAGCATATCTCGGGGACCAGACCAGGTGACAGTACTCCAGATAGGGAAGCACTTCACTCTTGAAGATCGTTACGAGGGACGGACCGTCTAGATATCTGAACGACCTTCTTATAAGACCCAATAATTTCTTTGCCTGATTTATCTTCTTCTCGCAATGGCCCGAGAATTTCAGCTCATTGTTAACATACACACCTAGGTCCTTCTCACATTCAGTCTCAAATAGTGCAGTTTCTTCATCCCGTTGGAACATATGAAATGATATGATACGCCTCCTTGCCGTTGGTACGCCCCAGGTGCACCCTCTTACACTTCGTGACATTGAATCTCAGCAGCCATTTCTTCGACCATTCTTGGAGCCCACAGAGGTCCTTCTGCAGCTCTTCACAGTCCACTTAGTTCTTGATTTCCCGAAATAACTTGGCGTCATCGGCAAACATTTGTATGGAGAAGTGTACAACGTCAGGCATGTCATTTATGAAACAAACAAACAACAGCGGGCCCAATACACTGCCCTGCGGTACCCCGCTTGTGCCATGTACGGATGATGATTTTGTGCCATTAATCACCACACACTGCTTGCAGTCATGGAGAAAGTCTTCTATCCACGCTAGGACATTTCCCCGAATTCCGTACCCTTCTAGTTTGATTTTCAGCCTTTCGTGGGGTACACTGTCGAAAGCCTTGGCAAAATCTAGGTAAATATTGTCGATATTACCACCTTGTTCCAGAATATGGGTCGAAATATCCAATACCTTGAGCAATTGTGTTAAGCAGGAGCGCCCCGGCATAAAACCGTGTTGGCAGTCCTTTACAAGGTTGTTTCGTATTAGATGTTCCATTGCTGCATCTCTAATAATACTCTCAAGTACTTTACATATTATGCTGGTCAGGCTCACCGGTCTATAGTTGTTCGTGGAGTGACGATCGCCCTTCTTGAAGATAGTACTCACATAAGCCACTTTCCATTCACTGGGGACCATTTGTTCATCCAGGCATTTACAAAACAGGATCTTCAGGGGCTCGGCAAGCTCGTTGCACAACTCTCTTAGCACTCTAGGATGCACCATGTCAGGGCCGGGACTCTTTTGAACCTTTAGCCTGGACAGTTTATTTCTAATACCCTCCCTTCTGTGAACACAATGTGGGTGAGTGCTGTGTCGAACTGTCTGTCCTCAAACGCAGGAAGGTTAATTGCATCCTCTCTTGTGAACACCGAGGAAAAAAAGCTATTCAATGCCTCAGTTTAATCCTGGTCAAAATCTGCGTAACTACCATCTTCATACCTCAGGTCTGATACTCCTACTCGCGTTTTCAATTTCGACTTTGCATAGCAGTAAAACGCCTTTGGGTTTGACTTGACCTCGCTTGCAACCAGCCTCTGGAACTCCTTTTCAGCCCTTCTACACTCTGCCTTTGCTTGGTTTCTGGCTCTTCCATACATCCTCCTGTCCTGCTCATCGTTTGACCCAACCCACGTCTTGAATTTCTTGGGTTTTTCTTAACTTTGTCGACCGCTGCAAGGTTCATGAGTAGGGATCCCCTCGTATTCCTAGAGGCACTGGGTTTGGTCTTGGGTATATATTTATCGATCAAATGGGTCACTTTACTAGTTATGATATTCAGCGTAGTGTCTGCGTTCTTCTGCCTTAATGAGTCAGGACAAAGGAAACAACTAAAGTCCTTGAAATGGTAGCCTCACAACCCCCAGCTCAACCTATAGTGCTCAACCTGGGAAGTCAAGTGTTGATTAAAATCATGACGGCAATAATACACGCCCATCTCTTGAATATAATCAAACCAGGATATTTTGCTAAAGGGGTAAAGGAAATGTTAGCAGCAAATAACCTCCCAGACATGGAATTCCCCAACGACGTTCCCTCATCAGAAGTCTTCAACCTGATCTACAAACCAGCGGAAACCACCAGTCAGGCGCATGTCACCCAACCACAAGCCACTTCCGACAACACCAGAAAGTAGTGAAGAGGGGATGGAAGAAGACGAAGAGGAGCAGGAACCCATTTTACAACATGAACCTGTTATACAACCTGAACAAGCGATCATATATAGCACCCCTAAAAAGAACAAAATGGTAAACGTGGCTCCACTACCGTCACCAAGAAAGATTACTGAGAATCAAGACCTCGGTGAGGAAACCGGTATTAGGTTTTACACGTGCTCAGCCCCCCATATAGTCTCAACCGAGAGACTACTGACAGAGAAAAGGGAAGGAAGAGTAAAATATACATATACGGATAAGAATCTGGAAGATCACCACATAGAAACATTGATTAAGAGAGGAAGAATTCTGACCAAATATAACAGAATAGAAAAGGTGGAGCAATCCAAGTACAGAAAAATCCGCCTCGACCTGCACACGGAGAGGAGGTCTTCAGGAGAACATCGATCATCCAAAATGCCGCAAACAAGCTCGAGACATCACCATTCATAATCAACAGACTTAAAATAATTCAACATAATGTACTGACCTGGACCACACCAAGAGCTCACGAATTATACAACATATATCGTACCCTGGACCCAGACGTCATCATATTAAATTCTCACGGCAACGGTAATTCAAATAAAATCAAGATATTCAATTACACAGTATACCAAAAAAACAGCCAAAATCCGTTACAAGATGGAATAGCCATAGCAATTAAAAGAAGCATAAAACATAAAATCCATGATACATTTCAAGAAAACTTTCTGGCAACTGAAATTAACAGCACAACGGGTCCAATCATTATCGGCACCTGCTACCTCCCTCCAAGACGACCAATCTTTCCAATAGCAGACATGCTCAGATTGATGAGGAGGAACACACCTGCATACTTTCTGGGCGATCTCAACGCTAGACACCGCATGCTAGGACACCATACCAACAACGCAGTAGGCCAGGTCCTGAACACACTAGTGAGCCACGGCAACGTAGTACACCTCGGACCGGAATGCCCCACGTACATTAGAGCAGGCCACACAGTATACCCAGGCATCGTTGAAACAAATCAACACCACCGCTTTAACATACTACTCGAACCCGGCCCAATAGTGATCATCTCCCTATCATAGCCACACTCTCCACAGCCCCAATACAGATCCCGGCCAGGCTAAGATTCAACTATAACCGAGCTAACTGGGAAAACTTCAAACAAGAATTAAACTACCCCCAACCCATACAATTACACAACGGGCACACTTCTCTAATAGACCAATCACTGGACACATGGTACGAGCACGTTAGCCAGGCCATGAACACAACATAACCAAGACCACTCACCGAACATTACCACACCCTCAATGTTCACACCAATCAAGAATCATACAGACACAATTTACTAACCTAATTAAACTAATCACACAACAAGGATGGACACCAGAACACAGGCGGCTATACAACATAATACACGAACAAAAATGCCTGAGTTCAATACTGCATTAAAGAAAAGGTATTGGAATTTTCTGATGAAAAGGAGGGGTCCAGACCCCAGGACCCCTCTGGATCCACCCTTGTTGTTTGTTTCGTAAATGACATGCCAGAAGCTATACACTCCTCCATACAAATGTTTGCGGACGATGCCAAGTTATTCAGGGAAATTAAGAACCAAACAGACTGTGAAGAGTTGCAGAAAGATCTCTGTGAGCTTCAAGAATGGTCGAAGAAATGGTTACTGAGATTCAATGTCACGAAGTGTAAGTTGATGCACCTGGGTCGTACCAACGGTAAGAGGTTTATCATTATGTCCCAACGGGACGTAGAAACTGCATTAACAGAGACCGAATACGAAAAGGACCTGCTTATGTATGTTGACAATGAACTGAAGTTCTCGGGCCTCTGTGAGATGGTGAGTCAAGCAACTAAATTACTAGGTCTTACAAGAAGGCCGTTCAAATACCTAGACGGGTCCGTCCCTCGTAACGATCTTCAAGAGTAAGATGCTTTCCCGCCAGGAGCGCTGTCACCCAGTCTGATCCCGAGATATACTATAGGGATTGTCAGTTGATTGAAAAGGACCAAAGGAGGGCCACCAGACTGGTACCTGCACTCCGGCTCCTCAGTTATCCAGTGAGATTAGAGCGCCTGCAACTGTTTAGCTTATATTACAGACGGGCAAGGGGGTGGGGGGTAATTGAGGTGTATAAATATATCAAAGGGCACAGTCGAGTGTCCATACCTGAAGTTGGCAGAGGCCTGCCCCACAAGGGGTCACAACTCAAGGTTGAAAAAGCCACAAGTCCAGAAAACTGTGAGGGCAGTAGCGCACCCAGAAATTCTGTAAGGGGGGGGGGGGGCCTGGAGGCCATGGACGTACCCAGAAATTCGTCAAGGAGGGAGCGAAATTGCATGACTGAAGGCCGAGCTAGCGGGAGACACGAAAAAACATGAAACAGCGGCACCACTGTGATAAGGAAATCTGCGTGACGTCATCTCAGAGGCCTGCCTTGGCAACTTGGGCGCGCGCGGGAGCTTTAAATTGACAATTACGAACAAATTGAGGTTTGTTTCCTTTATTTTCAGACCAAATGGGACCTATTAGGCAAAAAAAAATCACTTTTGCCTGACCAGGGGGTGACATGTAGGATACCAGCATCTGACCACGAACGGTTAAGGAACCGTGGGCTTAAGGGAGGGCCCGGGCCCCATGGGCCCACCTCTTGGGTGCGCTAGTCTGTGAGGGCAAACTTCTTGCAACCCGCCAGAGAGTGTTGTGATAGCACCGAGTGTGAGGTGTTTTAAGGCCAGGCTTGACCAACACTGGAGCAGGTTCAGATACATTCAGGAGCCGGTGCATGCCCAATACTTGCCAACAGTGTGTAACAGAGACGTGACCGATCGCCCAAGCGGCTAACGAGCCGATCAGTGGCGAAGAAGATAAAAGCAACAGCATAAAGTTGACAATTGACACGGAATCTTATACTAGAGTATTAGAATCCTTGGTGTGTACCTTTCGCCATCATGCCCTGGCTTGGAAACACTTTTACTTTTATTCTCTTCGCCACTGATCGGTTCGTTAGCCGCTTGGGCAATCAGTCACGTCTCTGATACGCACTGTTGGCAAGTACTGGGCATGCACTGGCTCCTGAATATTTCGGAACCTGCTCCAGTGTTAGTCAAGTCTGGCCTTGAATGATAGTACCTCTTGCCAGTGTGTCCTGGGTTCGTGTCCTAGCTTCGATACACGTGACAAGGTTGTTTGGGTACTTTTCGTAACTATCCACAGGTGTATATTCTGGGTTCGAGCCTGGCGGATCTCTCACTGTGTCACATACCATGTCCTGGGTTCGAGTCCTGGCCTGTTTCACTAACACGGTAGTTATGGTGACAGCAACTTTTTCCATATACTGTATTATGTCACTAGGTATAGACAACTATACTTAATTAGGATTTTTTTATTTCCCTCCCAGTTAAGCCACCATTTTGACGATTCTGTCACCCCATGGAAAATCTGTACTTGCACTTCTAACACCATACGACACTACCATATTCCCACCACTACCATACCATAGCCCACCACCATTATATTACCATTCCACACAACAATAATCCTACTATTACCATACCACCATCACCACGCCTTCACAACACCACTATCATCACACCACAACATCACACCACACCACCCTCACCACACCACCCTCACCACACCACACCACCATCACTACACCACACCACTATAATCACACCACACCATAATTATCACACCACAACATCACCCCATACCGCCATCACACCACTATCATCACACCACAACATCACACCACAATCACCACACCATCACCACACCATTATTATCACACCACAACATCACCCCATACCGCCATCACACCACTATCATCACACCACAACATCACACCACACCACCATCACCACACAATTATCATCACACCACAATATCACACCACATCACACCTATCACACCACACCACACCACCATCACCACACCATCACACAACACCACAATCATTACACCACATTACCACAACAAGACACCACACCACACCATCACACCACACCACCATCACCACACCATCACACAACACCACAATCATTACACCACATTACCACAACAAGACACCACACCACACCATCAGTATTACTATGCTATCATCACCATAACATCATGATCTACTCGCTATGGCTACCTGCAGAAAGTTGCTTCATACTAGTGTCTGGAGGAGAGGAGTGTGGTGGGTGGGGGATGGGTAGTGGGAAGGGGAGCCAGGGACGGGCGTGCGCAGTCTCCATGGTGACTCTAGCCGTCGTGTTTACCAAGTAGTGGTAGTGACTCCCTGCCTCGGTTCTCTGTCTGGTGCCCGAGGACCCCTTATCCTGGGAATGGTGCCACCTGGTGACTAGAGGTTTAACATCCATCATCCTGCCGAGGTCTTACACTGAAGCAAGAACTCACCGTCCATCTTTGAGTGCCAGTTGAGCATCCCGTGTGAAGAGACCCACCCCCACCTGTGAGTTACCTACACCATCGTCCCCATTCTTTACTCTCCTTCTTTATATTGAATAATTCTAGGTTTTTTTTCGTCTTTAAGTTTATATTGAATTTATGAGATAGATTTAACGTGTAGATCAAACTGTAGTAAAAGGAGATAAAGCTAATGCTAGTATGTCAATCAGATCATAATTCCGTAAAAAAATCCGGGAAGTCTCATGGTTATCGATGTATAAATGTGTAATTGAGTAACTATGTGGGGAGGAATCTGATGGTATGCGTGTGTGCGATGGTGCCTGAGTGGCTGGGTGAGCCAGCTGGGAGGTGAGGCGGTGGAGTATGGATCGTTCGCACCGCTGCAGTAGCCCGCCCAGTGGCCCTCCCACAGAGGCCCAGCTCTGTGGCCCGCCAGAGGACCCGTTCAATGGCAGGTCTTGGCTAAGTTGTTTACAAGCGTCGCCATGGTGATGACTGCAGCGTGCCGCATCGTTTTCTTTCATGCTCAGATCAACGTTTTCTCTTGACGACCAGCTGCTATGACCACTGCTGCGGCAACTACGGTTAATGCTCTCCCAGATCTCATCTAACATCTGAATTTTATTTCTATTTTTCTTCCATGCCACTGATGACTGCTATGACAATGTCGGGCGAGAGAAGCTGCAGTTAAGGCCAGGGCGTGATCCCGTACCACCTTGAGCGCCACCACTGCACAGCATGCACACGGCGCCCACCAAGAACCTGCTGCCTGTTGCGACTCGCCTCTATCGTGCCATCTGACGCCTGTCCTTCCAAGTGAGTCCTGACCCGTCTTCCTGCCACCTCCACCACAACAGCACACTCCACAGTTGTCACAATTATCTGTTATTAGTGATCCAGTTAATCGAAACGCCATCCGAAAAACAAAAGAAAATCTGAAAAAAAAATATTCTATAAGAAAGAAATGATTAGTGTGATAATGATTTATAGGCTGAAAATCATATTTCTTTGAGCCAGTGGTGTTGATAGTCTGGCCATGGCATGAGGGGAGGAGCCCAACTACTGTGACGGGCACTGATTGGTTGGTCATTGGATTAATCAACCAATCAGGTGTTTATGATATACATGGCAAAGTTAATCGTCTGTTGCTTTCCACGGTAAGTAAAGGTTAATGATTTCCACTGCATCAAGATTTATGAACTGCCACTTATTATAGCACCCACAGTCAGATAACACACGATTTATAGGAGTACTGTATACGAAGTGTTTGTAAACATCTCGACCACGTGCGTTTTAGCCCTGCTAGGATTGAGAAGGCCGCCGACACCAAAATGTCCCAGTCTACCCTCGCATTGCACCGTATTCGTCCGGGTTATAATGTTAGATGACAAAATATACTTCACACTATTCCGGTTTAAAATTGTCTAAATATGAACGTTCAAGCCGTCCAAGCAGTAAGTTCCTCGTGTTTACAATGTTATGAATATTTTCATTAAAATTCCTTCGTTCTGTTTCACTTTACATCATCGCCATTAATCATTCTCTATCGTATGTCATTCATATTTAATCATCATGGAAAATCTCACTATAATGGTTCACTGTTCATGCAAAATTAGTTTCTCACTCTTTCATGATGTCAGTGTGATTATGTACAGCGAGTCTGATGAGTGTTACTCTGTCTAATGTGGGTCATGTCAGCGTTTTATCTATTATATATTCTGTCAATATCTGTCTACTGTATGTTATGTCAGTGTGTGTTTACTGTATGTCAGTTTGTTTACGTAATTTCCTACATTTTTTATGGGAAAATATTAGCATAGTATTCCCATTTTCTTCGTCAGCTTAGAAAATTGCTATAAACTTACATAATTTGCATGTTTTACCCCACAGCTACGGTAAATAGAATATACAAACACACATTTTTCCCAAGCTCACTAAAACCATTAACAATGTTTTTATATTAAGTTTCGAAATGAATTTAGTATTTTCCTTCATGTGTTCCATTTTTTTTCTGAAGTACCCGATAACAAACACGATTTCTTTCACCCACTTTCTTTGATAAGTGTCTCGTGTGTGTGTGTGTGTGTGTGTGTCAGCCTTGACGTGACAAATAAGCCACTTTTTTACATTCTACCTTGATAATTTACACTCTTTTTTATGTACCTTGTTAAATGAGTTTTCTTTTTGTAATTTACCTTAATGATAATATTTTTTTGTCATTTTACTTTGATAATTGCCTTCATAGATACGGATTTTTCGTATTATATGAATCAATAATAACAAATTCATTACACATATTACTTACACTTTACCTTTATTAGTATATCGTGTGTTTACCTTTACACTACTTTGATAACCATACTTTTCTTACACGCTAATTAGGTAATGTTATTTAAACCCAACCTTGATAATTTGAGGGTTTTTTTACACAGTATCTTCGTAAATAGTTTTTTTTTCACCTTTTCCTTGATAATTCATGTTTACACTTCGCTGGTAATCATAATTGTTATCACTCTACCTTAATATTTCTTAGTTTACCTTGACCAATATTTATTCTTCTCCCGTAATTTGATAATTTATACACTTTTACTTGAGTATTAATAAATCATATGGTGCATTATGTATTCTTCGATTATTACACAGGGATAAGAGTTTACACTGAAACCTCGATAATTAACCCATACATAACAATTACATAGTTTTTATTACTTTACTTGGAAATTTAAACATTCTTACACTCTACTTTTATATTTAGAAAATTATAACACGTATTTTTTTAATCATTATTCTTTTACTTTCTTTTTACATTGAATTGATAATCACAGTTTTACATATCACCTTGATATTCATTCAAAAATTGCATGTTTTTTTTACACTACCTAGAAATTAAATATTTTTGATGATTGTGCATGACGTAGTTTTTATTTTTACACTACTTTGATAATGATCCCATATTTGTCGTCTTTCCATGACACGCTCTCACAGTCAGTTGCCATACAGTCTACCCGGTTAGTTCAAAGTTCAATTACCTTCTTTTTTTAATGATTTCCGTCATATGTTTGTGTATACGGGGGGTGATTAGATGAGGTAATTATGAATTGCATCTCAAAAGCAGTTAAAATTGAACTGTAGGACACACACACACACACGCACACACGCACACACACTCTCCCCCACTATCCCACACACAAACCTCCAGAAACACAACATCAAAGCATTACTGAATAATAATTTCTCTACAGAATAAAACCTCTAACAGTTGGGCCTCAGACACCAGACCAGACTAACACTCGTTAACCTTATTGTGGTTTGCTAATTTGTGTGAGTGGCGCGAGTCATAACAAGCAGGAGTTGAACGTCTGTCTGTCTGTCTCTCTCTCTGTCTCTCTCTCTGTCTGTCTCTCTCTGTCTGTCTCTCTGTCTGTCTCTCTGTCAATAGCACACCACATAGGAGAAGAGCAGTAGGGGCGGGGCAGTAGGTGGCCTTGGCTTCTGCTGTCACTAAGGATTAATAAGATTAGACTGTTTGGGTTCAGCCAGGAAGGTAAAGTCTACCTTACTACGCCTTACCTGACGCGTGCTTCGTATGTCGTTAAGGATGAATGGCAAAAAGTCATTCTCTTGCCCCGGAAAACTTTCACTATTCTCTCTCTCTCTCTCTCTACACTGTACTTGCACCACCTATTTACTTACCTAGACCCAATGTTTGTGTTTGTTGTTGTTTTGAGTTATTCTAGTTGTAGTTTTTTATTGTTTTTTATTGTTTTTGCTATTATTTTCATTTGTAGTGTTGTTGTTGTTGTTAATATAGGCAATAAAGTTTTATTTCCAGATTTATATTTTTTTTCCGAGATTAACAATTATTCACTGATGTACTTAATGTGATTAACCTAACAACTTCTACTGAATATTACTCACTTTTATTTATGGTAGTGTACAACATTGCGCCGGGCGTCGAACTATTGATCTTCCGATAAACTTTGCAACTTGTCTAGCCAGGCTGTCGCTGTCTACTGTATGATGGTGATGTAACCGAACTGCCAGTGTTGGAGAAATAATATGAACGGAAACGCTAAACTATTTTGAAGGAGACTCTATTTTTTCATGTAACTTAACCTAACCCATACCAAAGTTACCTCAACTAATAATTCAACCTATCCTAAAACTAATTAGCTTACTCTAACAGTCTAACTTAACCCACACATAATTTACCTAACCTAACTTATCCTTGGCCAAATTTAGCTAACCTAACCTAAGCCTTCGGTAAACAATGAAGCAACGTGACTGACACTACTTCCACCGATGTAAAGTTAAGTTAGGTTAGGTTAGGTTAGGTGCAGTTCTGTGTCTAATTGAAGTATCGTATTACATGTGGTAGAGGTGTGTGGGTTATCGTAAGCGTGTGTCAGGGATTGAGTGTTGTACTGTACTGTCTCTCTCTATTCATTCAGTATACTTGCCCTCTCTGTTGTGGCCACCTATACAATATATACTGTATGTGGGTCACTCAATATGTCTGTGAATCTGTTTGTCAGTGGCTGTTTGTCAGTCTATACGACGCTGTCAATATGGCTTAATACGGCTTAATAAGTGAGACATGCGAGGAGTGGGCGGTGTGGGTGAGGGTGTGGGTGTGGGGTCATGGTGGTGTGGGTGTGGGTGAGGGGTCATGGTGGTGTGGGTGTGGGTGTGGGGTCATGGTGGTGTGGGTGAGGGTGTGGGGTCATGGTGGTGTGGGTGTGTACTGTGTGGGTGTGGTTTGTGAGTGTGTGGATGGTACTGGTGGGTGGAGGGAGCACATACACACACAGGTTGTGTGTGGTGAAGGTGTAGGTCTACACCCTTGGATGTGTGTGGTGTGAGTGATTGCCGAATGAACTGTAAGAGGCAGATGCTTGAGAAGTAAAGAAACATAGTGAGGGCGTGGGCGGAGGCGTACAGGTGGTGAAGGTGGGCGGGAGGTATAACCAGCGCGGGAGGTAAACAGAGCGAGCATACCCGGGTGGGGTGGGCGGGCCTGCACCACATCACCACCACCACCACGATGCCTGACAACTAGTCTTGGTGGTGGTGGCGGGCGCCACGTATGCTCCCCTCCACTGTCATACCCTCGGGTTATACTCGCTCCTAATCCACCATGGCGGCCGTCACCCTGGCCATATATGAGGTGAGTGAGTGTTTGGGTGGGTCACAGAGAACGTGTGTAAGGTGTAGGGTGAAGGGTGTGTGGTAAGACTAGATGCGTAAGGCACTGTGCTAGTGTGAAGTTGCATCACTGCATTACCTTGGTGATTAGAGGTAACTGCAGAATGCCCTCAATTAATTAACATGTAGAAATATCTATCCTAACCTGACTCAAGTGTGCGTACTTAACCTAACTCTCGTCCTTGTCTTCTTAAACCGCGTCCACAGTGTCAAGTGTTATCATAACTGTAGTGTATCCGTGTAACATACTTCGAGTGTAATTAAAGTGTCTCTAATACGTTTATAAAATTTAGAATGACCTGACTCCAGTATGCCTGTTTAATTCGCGTTAAAAGTCGTAAAAATGGACCATCGTCTACAGGTTAACATATAACAGAGGCGTCTATATGGTCGCGTGAGGGACGTAATGTAGTGGTAATCATTCATAGATAAATTTCTGTGTCCTATATAAACTCCTGTCATTGAATCTGCTACAGTAACGTATAGATAATATCACTGAGGTTATTGCGAAGCTTAGTGATAGAGTTTGAGGCTAATGTTGGCTTAATAGTTTACCTGGGAACATGAGATTAGTGTTTTGTGTTAGGGTTGGGTGTGCACGCGACAGGTCTGCGCAGCTGAGTGATAGATACTAAGTAGTGACGGGAAGTATTGGCTACTTGTTGTGGTGTCTGTACTCCATACTCCTCCTCCTCCTTCCTTCCTTTTCTTCTGTTCCTTTTTTCTCCTTCCATCTTTATTCTATCCCTTTCATTCTTCTTCCTTCTCCCTTTTTCCTACTCTTCCCATTTTCCTCTTCCTTCTGCCGCGACTCTAATTCCACCTCCACCTTCTGTACCATCAAAATGTCACCTTCACTTTAACCACTACCACTACCACCACCACTTTTACCACCAGCACCACCACCACCACCACCAACACCTTCACCACCACCACCACCACTACCACCTTCACCATCACCACCAACACCACCACTTTCATCAACAACACCTTCACCACCACCACTTTCACCACCACCACCACCACCCCACCAACAACAACACCCACCACCACCACCACCACCACTACCACCTTCACATCCTTCACCACCACCCACCACTTTCACCACCACCACCACCACTTCACCACCACCACACCCACCACCACCACCACCTTCATACCACCACCACCACCACTTTCACCACCACCACCACCACCACCACCACCACCACCAACACCTTCACCACCACCACCACCACCACCTCCTTCACCATCACCTTCACCACCAACGCCACTTTCACCACCACCACCACCACCACTTTCACCACCACCACCACCTTCACTACCACCACACACCCACCACCACCACCACCACCTTCACCACCACCACCACCAATTCACCACCACCACCACACCACCACCACCACCACCACCACCACCACCCACCACCACCATCACCACCACCACACCACCACCACCACCACCACCACTACCATCACCACCACCACCACCACACCACCACCACCTTCACCACCTTCACCACACCACACACCACCACTTCACCACCACCACCACCACACCACCACACCACCTTCACCACCACCACACCACCACACCTTCACCACCACTACTACCACCACCACCACCACCACCACCTTCACCACCACCACCACCACCTTCACCACCACCACCACACCACCACCACCACCACCACCACCACCACCACCACCACACCACCACCACCCACCACCACCTTCACCACCACCACCACCACCACCACCTTCACCACCACCACCACCACCACCTTCACCACCACCACCACCACCACCTTCACCACCACCACCACCACCTTCACCACCACCTTCACCACCACCAGTCTACTCATGTCTACCCCCAACAATTCCAAATCTTGATATGTTTCCCTAAATATTTACATCCTATGGCAAAACTTGATCGAAATTCCTTATGTAACCTTGTCCTAATTATCCAAATGGCCCTATGAGTCAGGAATTCACTGAGAGAGAGAGAGAGAGAAAGAGAGAGAGAGAGAGAGATGGTGTCATGCCAAGTAAGAGTTTATGTCTGTATACATCAATACACTCTGCTGAAGAAGATCTTACTAGTGGTGTGGTGTGGTGTGGTGTGGTGTGGTGTGGTGTAGTGTGGTGTGGTTTACTGTTGTGAGGGTGTGGTGTATTGTTGTGAGGGTGTGGTGTACTGTTGTGAGGGTGTGGTGTGGTGTAACGTAATGCCTAATTGTATAATGTTGTGTGGTTTACTGTGGTATGATGAGATGTGGTATAGTGTAGTGTGATGTCTTGTAGTGTAGTGTGGTGTGTTTTGGTGTACTGTGGTGTGGTGTGGTGCGGTGTACAATAGTCTGGTGTAACAAGGACAAATCCCTATACTTTCCCCCCCTCCCCACCTCTCCCCTCTCCTTCCATTGGTAACCCCCATCCCACCCATCCACCTCACCACGCCCTCTCCGTTCTCTCTCATCAAACGAACACCACAGAAAATGGGTCACTTTTATATCAGTGTTTATTTTCCCTTTCTCTAATTTACCGTTTTCCCCTTTTTTGCCCTTATCTTACCCTTCCTCCCTCTCTCTCACTCCTGTACTCTCACTAGCCATTAATTAATCACAATTACCAAACCATTCCGAATATTAAGTAGTTCTCTTTGTTATGTCTTTTAGAGAGCAGATCTTTTTTTTTTTTTCAGTTTAATCCAATTTTATTCGTCTTCCTCCTTTTTCTTTTCATATTCCTGTGTATTGTTGTTCATATAAAAGGTGTCGTCCCATTCCTGGTTCTAAGTGACTACCACAGGATCAACTTTACACCCCAGCTGTGTACTTCCATCAAACACCATTCAAGCTCGACGCTCTTTCCACCTCCACTCACTCATGCTTTCGAACACCCCGACGATCTTTTTCCCTACTTCCTCTCTCTAATATTCGTTCACATATCATCTCTTTATTATATTCCGATCAATGACGCCCCATTTCAACTCCTGGGACATAAATATTGATGTTTTCACTAAATCAATCTAAATTCCGCCCCGACAACCTGAGACAACACCAGACAAAAGTATAAAAAGAGGTGAAACTGATAGATACATTACACAAACTTTAAGAGATGTCTACAGATCCTACTAAACTGAGCTGACAGACACTGAGAGATACTATTATTTATACCTAAAAAAAGTTAACATATTAAACAAGTAGACCTGGAAAGTAAATAATGTGATTCTTTGTCGAACTAAAGGGTAAAGCTGAAGTTAAAGAAGACGCCTCAGGTGGGTGTGTATCTGCCGGAGTGCTAACAGCCTCTATATTCTATCAACAGAGGCCAAATGTGAGATTAGACAATACTTACCCTATGATATATTGGACCTCTTGCACCACACTATATAATACCTTAGAAAGTGGTGAGTTTTGATCTTTTGAGACGTCGAGGAATAACTGGGAATACCAAAAGCAGAGGACACCTATGAGACGAGATTACTAGATCACATACCAACTATTCAAGGTATAGAGAGACCCAGGGATACCAACACTTCCTCGAGGGGAATTTGACGAACATCTAATCCACTTCATTATTACAGAAGACGTCAGACTACAACTACTGATGAATCCCCAAGTTGTCGAGTAGTGTGTCCGAGTTTGCTGAGTCATTAGTCTGGATTTTTAAGAAAATGTATATAAAGGTAATTTAAAACTTACAGGCAAAGCGTAATTAACTTTTTAAATATCTTCAATTATTTCAAAGGCTCATTAATTAATACTAATTACTCGAATTTTTAAATTGTGAACCCAGATCCTTCATCAAAGTGTAAAGTAGTGCATGTGTATGAAATTTAAACAAAATAAACTTTTTACCCCAGGTGCCGAAAACTAAGATATTAGGTCAGGCGTACAGTATTTTTGACGTAAATCGATATTTTGGGGGAACGTGAAAACTAAAGTTTTTATATAATCTTTAAAAATAGGAATTTAAATTTGTCTGGTGACTACTGACTTGTGAACTTTAAAAGCATCAAACAACACGACTTTACCGGCAGTAGATCTACTGGACTCCAACTTAGTATGTTCTGACATTTAGTGCCAGCCTTCCTCTCCTTCTGAGTCACACTTGTTATGGTTGTTCACCTTTCGTTCACACTCGTTCTTCTGGTTGGTAGGTCGCACATAACCGTATATAGACATAAATATATGTAATTATATACAAACAAACATACAAATGTACAGTATACCTGTAATGTAATCAGGGAGCGAAAACACAAGTAAATGAAACGTGATGCGCGATGTCCGTAGAGTTTACCTGGCACTGTACTGTATTTCGCTGTAAAGTTCTCTCTCCTATTACTCTTTAATGTTTTTCCCACGGTTACAAACAATGCACCGAGGTATTTGTACTATAAGCAAGTTTAGCGCCTGATGCCACGGAGGATGTTGATGCAACGGTAAAACCTCTATAATTCAGAATAGAATACTGAGGAATTCTGGAAAGCTCAGACCCAGCGTAGGTAGTCCAGGATATTAAGGTTTTACACACACACACACACACACACACACACACACACACACACACACGAGTTAACTCACCACGTAAGGTCCCTAATAACAGCACAGCACCACGGGTTTGCTTTTCATTGCCCCAGGTAGTCTACGTGACCTCACACAGAAGGACAAGAGACCAGCCGACACCATCCACTGTTAACTATATTGTGTATGTTCACTTTATGTTCTTTTTTGTGTAAAGAAACCTTTTACACTGCCCAATATCACTGTATCCTATGTAATAAGTCAATTATTATTATTCATTATTATACAGATAGATGATGGTGAGTTGAGTGAGGCACCAGTTGTAACACATACTTGTCACCTGCAGATGAGCGAGACGAAGGAAGAAGCGCTGTGCAACAATGCGCAGAACCACCGTCAGCAGCTGCTCAACCACCAGCAGGAGCTGGAGAGGGACTTGGAGGCTGGTTCCTGCGCTGACGAGGAGGACGAGGGGGAAGAGAACACCGATGAAGGAGGCGAGGGAGAGGAGGGAGAGGAAGGAGAGGAGGGTGAAAAATTGTCTGGTACACCCAAGCAAGTGATCCCTCCGCTGTACAACGTTGAGCCTGGGTGTACGTCGCTCGGCTGCTACTCCGCCATCGCTACTTTCATCGTCATGATTATTGGTATCGTCGCTCTCCTCATGTACTCTTCCCCTGCTGACGCCACTGCTGATAACCTGGTGATAGAAGAGGAACTTGAGCTTACTACTTTACCCTCCGTCAGTGCCCAGCCAGATGCACCTACGCAATAGCACCCCCCTCGCTCTCTCTCTCTTTCTAATTTCACCTCCTTACACTATACCTTTCTTCTCTCTCTCTCTCTTTCTTCCCTCTTCTCTTACGCCTCCTCACTCTACCTTCTTTCTCTCTCTCTCTTTCATCCTTCGTTTTCGCCTCCCCCACTTTCCTTTGCCCCCTTCACTATCTCATTTACCTCTTTTGTGGGGGCCTTAGTACAAGGGGACAATATAGTGAAGACATATTGCCATGTGATCTAACTGGACGCTGACACTCCCTTCACCCTTGTAGACCCGACACTGAGGTCAGCCTAGAGGAGCCACAATGGTTGCTTACATTGTTTTTCTGTTGTTTGCTGTATCATCTGTCATTGTTTATTTTGTTTGTCATCTATCATCCTTAAAACTATTGTCTGCCGTAAACTGATAATTTAATCTAATCGTTTTATATACGTTTTGTTTGCTTTGTCGTCATACATATTAATATCTGTCTCGTTGTTTTTACTCACGATTTGTTTACATGTTCCATCCTCTCTAAAATTGCTCGTAATTTCCGTATCATCATTCATATTGTTATTGTTTTTCTCAATTCTATAGTTTACTGTGTATCATCCATCACCTATTTTTTGTATGTATATGAAGCAATTGTTCACTTCAGCCCGCCTTTGCATAACCCACTATCACTCTCTTCATCGCCATTAACTTCAGCCGGAGTTGAGTGGAAATGGTATGGCCTTCAGAGGTGATAGTCCCTTACGACTTTGATAATTAATGCTACAGTTGGACAGTTTAATGCTAGAATGTACAGTTAGTTGGTCCTCTAATGTGATGACATATAACCTTTGTGTGTGTGTGTTTTGGATATGGCATGTTCTGATTGGTTCATTGTCCATGACACTAACCTAATCCATTCCTTATTATTGATCTATATTCAATCCTAGACTAACTTAGCACAATTCTAAATTAATGTAACTTAAAGTAAATTTATATAAGCTAACTTAATTTAACCTAAGCTAATTTATTCTAACCTAACCAAGTAGTGGGATGTAAATACTAGTTTACCTTATTGCGAGCGAGATGACCAATTAGCGCGACCCAGGCCTTTTATATAAGCCGACGTCATGGTGGGCAAGGACCAATCAGCGCACTCCAAGCCCGTAAATAGGATGACGCCATGATGGGCGAGGACCAATCAGCACACACCATACCTTCATTCACCTGGATCTTTGGTTCTTGTCGCATCACCTTCCCCCTCCTCCCGCTCTTCTCTACCCCCCTCCCCCATCTCAAGACACAGCTTCCTCTGTCGCCTTGCTCCTCTCTGTCCATCGTCTGAGCGCGTGTTGTTATACAGAACCCTCGCTCAAAATATTTTTACCGCTGCTTCACGTATGTTTAACCAGGACGATTACCACTCTATACCCTGTGGAGTGTGAGGGGCCTCGGTAATTGACGAGACAACTGGACCAGCCTTGGACAGACTCAGAAATATTAATCCGATTGAAATCCAGGCGAGGTTGCCCTTGGACCCTCAGCTACGCAGGGTAATAAGCAGAGTCCATATGAACTATTACCTAATTATATAAATATTTATACCGATACTGAAGAATGTGGTTAGTTTGTAAGGGCTGCCACGGGTGATTTGATGTACTGTACTTGTTTGTTATTGGCTACTATGCTTTAACGGCCTGACTACCGCATCTCTAACTAGCTTGTTTCTGTTGACTGTTAGAACTGTTATATAGGTTTGTTTTCTTGTACAATATTTTTGAAAATCTATGCAAAATAGCTCAGTGAGGGGTTGTCTGTTGTGTCATGGCCGCTGTAACAAATTCAGGAGTATACCTTTCAATGGTGTAGGTTTGACTCTCATTCTCTGTTGATTATTGGAAACTGATTCAGAGTGACTTAGGGTTATCGCAGAGTTTTTGTGGAGCTTCGAAACTACTTTTGAAGACATGATGGGCCGAGTCCTCCCGTCACTAATTCTCTCACAAACGTATGGTGGACGCCTTCAAATTTCAGACTCTGATTTTACATTTCTGGTGTGTTGAGTTTGGTTAGTGTGTAAGTCAAACTCCTAATCCATTTAACATTTCTCTTTAAAGGGAAAATTTTAAATTTACGATCAAGTTATACGAAATTTCTTGACTTAAATATAACCCCCAAAATGACCATCAGATAACCAACATGATGGCAGTAGATTTAGACTAAAATATCCTAAAACTTAAGAAGAGTTGATGGATAATACAATGTTCCTGTGATAAAGGAGCATGAAGCGAGAAGCACAGATCATCCCTCACGACACGAGCACACTGAGTAATGGTGAATGATTTTTATGATATATACAGTATATATCAACATAATTTTATATTGTGGCGTTTTTAATTCGTATTCACTGTTGCTGCTTGAGGCTTTACGCATCACCCGTCGCACAGCCGAGCCCTCTCCATGGCTTCACTCTCAACACTGTTGGGTTTACGTCACTCGTTGTTTTGGATTTAACAACTAGATAATACTGAAACTTTTTGGATTGTTAGTTACTTTATACTGATGCCTGGTGGGTCATACACGAATCTAAAACAAAATTTAGGTGCGTATTCTTTTGTAAACATCAGAAGGAGCCAATCAAAGCCCTACCGCTAGGTGAGAGCCAATCGGCGACCCTAGCGCGCTTCTTAACCAATCAGATTCCTTTACCAGCCATAAGACCCAATCCAGAACCTTTAAAGAAATCATAGGTAAATTTGAGAAAAAAGTAAGTTGTTATTGTATCAGTGACAACTTGAGAGAAATTAAGTAGCTTTAATGAATATAGCAGATAAATATATTCCTGTACAAATTTTTTTTATTGTTATACCTGATTTGTTTGGACCTGGTTGTTACTTGTTTGTTATGACAATGTTATGACGTCTCATTAGGTTTATCAAAATGCTAACACTAGCACAAAGTCCTGTAAAATCTATTACAGGAGCAGAGTACCTTAAATCGATGTAAAGCCAGAGTTAGAGCCAACATCAATTTTCAATTCGGTTGATGATATTACACATTACCTGACTACTGGGGGAACGAAGCGATCGATGATTGGCTAAATCGAACAATGATGGTGACGTCACTGGAAAAGTTTAACAATCTCTTATTGGCTAAATCAGTGGTGGTGACGAGACTGAGAGAGTAAAACGATCACTTATTGGGTAACTGAACCGATCACTGGCCAGGTTATATGCTACCCACGTCCAAACAAAAAATATTCCTCAGAATCACAAAGAACAGGACGTCCAGGGGTCAGGTTACCGCCGAGCAGACAGAACAGTATAACGTTCACCTTGTATGGCTGAAATTGGTTAAAGTTCACCTTGTATGGCTGAAATTGGTTAAAGTTCACCTTGTATGGCTGAAATTGGTTAAAGTTCACCTTGTATGGCTGAAATTGGTTAAAGTTCACCTTGTATGGGTAGAAACAGTTAAAGCTTGTCTTATATGAACGAGAATAGTCAGCTTTTACCTTTTTGGAATGAGAATAGCTAAAATTTATCTTATATAGACGAAATTAAATAAAATTCATCATATATGGACGAAATAAAGAAGAGCAAATGGTAACACTATAAGGAGTCCAGTATCGTTAGAGGTTACCTTAAGAAAACAACAACAAGGTCAAAGGTCACCTGGGGATGGAACCTGACCCCGCAAGAAAATCAAAATAATCTTAGTGTTCCGATGTTGTATTTTACCCCCCTTACACCTAACACGGGTCTATCTTGCCGGCCACCACTAATACTCAAGGACCGGATTCTCTGACCACACTCAAGAGTGACTCATGGCCAAACTACTGCTAAAGTGAGTCCTTCTTCCGTCATTTCCCTAATCATTGGTGTTATCGTTGAGTGTTTCTATCCATGAGCTGATGATCTGTAATAAGTGAGGGTAATATTAGATGTAGTGTGAAAACTTTAATCAAAACATAGAATCAAAAATAAAAAGTTCATTGTGGTCAGAGGGTCTGGCCAGACAGCTTGAACCTTCGCCAGATCTTAGCAATAATGGATGTACTCAATGACCCACACAGGCACTGGTGAGTCTGACAGTGCCAGCCTGACTGGGTGACAGTGTCAGCATGATCAACAATGCCAGTCGTACTGGGTGACAATCCCAGCTGACTGACAGTACCAGTATGACTGACAGTGACAATTTGCTGTGTGTGGGAACTTGTTTTGAAGATACATAATTTACTGACACTTGTATAAATATTTTGATGACGACACTGGCTAGGAAGTTTCCTTTATTGTATTGTTGATATGTCTATTTTGTCGTTTTTCTAAATATTGTTATTTTTATTAGGAGTAGCACACACACACACATATATATATATATATATATATATATATATATATATATAATTTTCCAAAGTCTTTCCTCTGAGTTTGTAAAAAATAATCTTTGTTTAGTATACTGTATGTTGAACTGACGGAATATAACTTTTACAACTATGTATTTTAAATTACTTATAATGGGTCATATTTTTAAAGAGTTGGTTTGTTCATTGCAACTTGTATAAAAACGGTACTTATATCGCAACTTTCATTATTATTAATAAAAAAATTACAATTTCATCGGAAGTGAGTTTATTTTATCCTTCTGGTGTTTCACTGACAGGAAATGTGCTTCTCACCCAACTGTTGAAAGACAAAATCTATTCGTTGGGAACACTGATGGAGAGGTGTACACTTATTTCATACATATGCGATAAATTAGTGACTAAAGAAAAATAACGAAATATAGAAGATTATAAATGATAGTAAAGGGAAAACAAATGATAGGAAAACTAACAAAAAACACAGTAATTTAAATATAGTTAATACGATGGAAAACAAGTTAAAACGAAATGAAAAGAACACCAAAAATAATAATTCTTAAACTGTCAAAATAAAAGAAAATGATTACTACAATTTCTAGGTTTTATCATCACCTGAGTTATCCTGATCAATGAGTCACCCCAGGATGATGAAACTAACACTGTCACGAGTTATATACGTTTTATTATCAAGATATATCCAAGACCTCGATAACCCAACGAAAGAAAATAAATAGTATATAAACGTGAGATAAAGTGAACAAAACTGATCTTAAAAAAGAGCTACAGTAAATTATCTCTTCAAACAATAGTCTACGTGTTTTATTTTGTAATTACATATCAAAATATTCTAACTCAATACGTATTGCTTGGAAAACTACTGTACATAGAAATATTCTCTTATTACATATTACGATTTTCGAGACACCAGAGTATTTCAACATTATATATTAAAAAAAAACCCAAGACGTAGGATACAATCAGAGGAGAGATGATCGTTATTCCCTTCATCTCTGGGGCTGAGTTTCCTTCCTTTATCTCAGTGAATATAGACATTTAACGATAAAAAATGAGCAAAATACTAAACAAAAAACTATTCTGTTAGTCTCAATGTATCAAAATTTGAGCAAAAAAATAAGTTTATGGTAGGTAAAATAAGTATTGGATTTCCTACTTTCTCTGGTAAGATTTGTTCCGTTTTCTATGAGAGAGCGGCGAGAGACTACCCCCAGCCTCTGTATCGACGTTTCCAGTCTCTCAGTGAACAGTTCTGTAACTTTATGGCATCAAGACTCACAATAAAACCAATAATCTTGTTTTTACTGTTTACCTCAATGTTGTTTTTATCTTATACATATATGACAGAAGACAAATTAAGGTTCATTAAGACTCCAGAACAGGTAAGATTGTCAATTGATAACCTCTCGTGCCTTAGGACAGTTTATTGAATCATTAATGAAGTGCTGGTGATGAGATCGAAGGTTGGAGGACAAACACGGAACTACGTCACATAATATTTCAACCTGAGACGAAACTTTGGTCTTAATGCAACTGCTGATGTGTGAAAGGCAGCTTTAGAAAGTAAGAATATGCACCGAAATATATTCTAGAATTTAAAGAATTTGTTCACCAGAAGTCATTAGCGACCGTGGGAAATACCAGAACCCAAGAGGAAATATTATCGGGAAAACCCATAAGTGGACCCTAGAGCGATGTGTGGCCGCACATGAGCACAACCATTACGCACATACACACACACACACACACACAGAAGGCGCCATCACCATAACAGAATCTCGCAGACCTCCACAGTGGCAACACCGCCCGCGCTGCGCACATTCCCTCCTCTTACAAGACAAAAAAAACTCTCGAACCAATTTACTCTTGTGTAGATCTTTAAGTAGAAAGTTGAACCAAGACACTGACACACTACCAAGGAGATTATAAAGAGGAGATAAAGCTAGAAAGGAAGAGGAGAAAGACACCATGTTAAAAAGAGGAGTGCAACTAGTGTTCAACATCCACTAAGGTCACCATGGAGGAAGCTACTACCACCTGCTGCTGAACCAAAACAAAGAGGTAAGTCGTCTTGATCTAAACTTTCCCTGAGAAATCTATCAAGGACAGACATGAATAGATTAGATTCATTAGATTTATTTGTTTTCCTCCTCGTGTGGATAGTCCGGAGAGGCGGGGTTAGACAGTAGACTATCCTAGGAGACTACTTAAATATTTCAGTGGACTATCTGAGCCCTGATGACGGTAGCTGGTCAGGAGTAAGATGAGGATGATTTATAGAATATATATAAATAGATAAACAGATATATGATATTTCTCAAAGATGTTGTTATTGTGTGTATTCTGTCGATCATGGCCACGCCTTCTATCATGGCCACGCCTTCTATCATGGCCACGCCTTCTATCATAACCACGTCTTCAATCATAACTACGCCTTCAATCATAACCACGTCTTTTACCATAACCACGCCTTCAATCATAACCACGTCTTCTACCATAACCACGCCTTCAATCATAACCACGTCTTCTACCATACCTTCAATAATAACCACGTCTTCAATCATAACCACGTCTTCTACCATAACCACGCCTTCAATCATAACCACGTCTTCTACCATACCTTCAATAATAACCACGTCTTCAATCATAACCACGTCTTCTACTATAACCACGCCTTCAATCATAACCACGTCTTCTACCATACCTTCAATAATAACCACGTCTTCAATCATAACCACGTCTTCAATCATACCACGTCTTCTACTATAACCACGCCTTCAATCATAACCACGTCTTCTACCATACCTTCAATAATAACCACGCCTTCAATCATAACCACGTCTTCTACCATTCAATCGTCTTCTACCATACCCACGCCTTCAATCATAACCACGTCTTCTACCATACCTTCAATAATAACCACGTCTTCAATCATAACCACGTTTTCTACCATTACCACGCCTTCAATCATAACCACGTCTTCAATCATAACCACGTCTTCTACCATACCTTCAATAATAACCACGTCTTCAATCATAACCACATCTTCTACCATAACCACGTCTTCTACCATAACCACGTCTTCTACCATAACCACGCCTTCAATCATAACCACGCCTTCAATCATAACCACGTCTTCTACCATAACCACGTCTTCTACCATAACCACGTCTTCTACCATAACCACGTCTTCTACCATAACCACGTCTTCTACCATAACCACGTCTTCAATCATAACCACGTCTTCAATCATAACCACGCCTTCAATCATAACCACGTCTTCTATCATAACCACGTCTTCTACCATAACCACGTCTTCTACCATAACCACGTCTTCTACCATAACCACGTCTTCTACCATAACCACGCCTGTACGTTTAAGACTAAACATAACATAACAGAAAAAAATGAACCATAAATCCTTTCGTCATGACCCTGAAAGTAGAGGAAAAAGGTGCTCGATATTTTTTTGGGGTCGCCAATAAGCAGAAACTAAATAATTTTGTTTGTGGGTAAAAAGTGGAGAAAAAAGCCCTTTTTGCACATCAGATAATATGGAATTATTGTCTTAGTTTCTGCAACAAAGAGTAAAGGAATTTCAAAGCCTTTCTTATACACTAAAAAGTTACAATTTTAGTACTTTTATTTAACCATCAAAAAGTGTAAGAATTTTATATATAATCTTTTTATGTACACCGGAAAGTAATATTATTCTTACTTTTGTTTAGAAGTAAGAAAGTATATACCTTTTATGGTCTTTTTTGTGCTCAGGAAAGTAAAAATATTTACACTTTTGTTGTTTATATATTGTGGATATTATGTGTGGATATTATGTGTTTCTATAATCAAGTTTATCACTTTATGTATAAGATTTATGCCCGTATATACAAACAACTACATATTAGAAGATTTTATACAGCAAAAACTATATAATTTTTGCATAAGACTATAATATTGATAACAAAACATAAAGTATTTGTGATTATTTTGGGTTGACGATCAGGAAAGCGAAATTATAAAAGTTTGACTGAAATATTACAGAAAGTATATAATATTTTCTCGAGTACATTTTTTAATAACTACATTATATCAGTTTATATATTTTAAGCCAACGATCAGAAAGTCGAAATTAAACAAACGTGTTATTGAAATATTATCTACTGCTTTCATCTTCCAACCGAGCGTATTGAAAACAAAGTGACGTTCTACCATGAACAGAACCTCACTAAGACGGAACTTAAGAACCAAAAGGTTGGCTGTGCGAGATATGAACTTGAGGGAAATTCTGCTTTTATTAATTTCCCTTCACTTGTTTTTTATTATATTCATCTACGATTACAATTCTCCTTAAGTGATTTATTGTTTTCTGTTTTGGTGACACTTTTACCTCAGCAAAGAGATTTGGTAAAGTCTTCTCTTCCGTGATGTGTTCAAGAGACTTAATCTAATAGCGTTTATGGTCTTTTCAAAGTGTCTAGGAACATGTGACGCTTCTAGGAGATGTAAGAGAGAGAGAGAGAGAGAGAGAGAGAGAGAGAGAGAACAATACTAAATGACTTATTATACTTAGTGTTTGACATTTGATACCAAAAGAAATGCTAAGAGAGAAATAATTTATAATACCTCCAGTGCTTCAAGATAATTAGGGCTGATTCGTACATCTTCATTAGTTATTAGGATGGTAAAATCAATGAAAGCTTGACGGTGTTATCTTCTTGCTAACAATTATAAAATGTTAGACACGGCGACATATCCCTAAGTGCATAGTACTCTACTGCATCCTGAAAATTCGATATACGATCGATTTCGCTTTACGGTTCATTATCATAGTTTCAGCCTCACAGGGAAGGTCTTGGATGAGGAGAATGTTAAGACAGAGTGTGAAAGAGTTCTCTGGGATGGATATTATGTGTTCTGGGTCGTCTTCTGAGTGTATAAATTGTGTTGATGCTTGTCTTGTTTCTTCTTGTTGGCATTTAGATTTATTTTTACTTTAGCGTTGCAGTCAATAATAATAATAATAATAATAATAATAATAATAATAATAATAATAATAACCAAAACAATAATAATAACAAAATAGGTGCCCCAATATATGTAAACAAAGATATCCCTTACTGCCCTGATGATACACAAACTTCATGGCCGAGAATATTGTGTAATTAAGACCTGAAGTAAATGGCCGAACGTGGGCGACATGAGAATACCTTATCTAGAAATAGCAATTCGATATGGAAGCCAGAATTTCATATTGATTCGGATAATTTGAAAATGTTACATCGTTGTTATAGTTAGTGATATGAATTCTTCTCGTTATCATTCACCACTATCTTCGTTCACTCAGTTTTAATTACAATCCTGTTAATTTTAAATGTTCTTTAATAACATATTCCTTTATTATAGTTTTCTTTCATTATTGTTACTTAAGCATTTACCTTTGAATTTCATGTGATAATGTAATATTTCCTTCTATATTTAGTAATAATATGATTTATTAATGTATGTGTTATTTGGTTCCTGTTATGTTATGTTATGTTATAATTATTCACGCCTTGTTGTTTTGTTTAGTTATGAGAGAAAAAAAGGGAGGTAGAGATAAAGAGGAAGAGAGGGGAGAGAGAGAGAGGAAATGAAAAATACAGATAAAGAGGAAGAAGCAGCACAAGAAGATGAAAGAGAAGGCTGAGTGAGAATGGAGAGATGGGAAGAGAGATGACGACTGTGTGAGTGATGAGAGGGAGGGAGTTGTTTGGAGAGGGGGGGCAGGAAAAGAGAGAGACAGGAAGTAAAGAGATGAGAGGGAGGGAGTTGTTTGGAGAGGGGGGCAGGAAAAAAGAGAGACAGGAAGTAAAGAGATGAGAGGGAGGGAGTTGTTTGGAGAGGGGGCAGGAAAAGAGAGACAGGAGTAAAGAGATGAGAGAGGGAGGGAGTTGTTTGGAGAGGGGCAGGAAAAGAGAGAGACAGGAAGTAAAGAGATGAGAGGGAGGGAGTTGTTTGGAGAGGGGCAGGAAAAGAGAGAGACAGGAAGTAAATAAAGAGAAAAGGTCACAAGGGATATACAAGGGATGAAGCAGAGAGAAAAACAACACACACACACACACACACACACACACATACACACACACACACACACACACACACTATTACACTACTACTACTTTGCTGTCACTCGGAATTGAGTATGACGATCATCAAACCATGATACAATGATATGAGTTGTTAAGGATGTCACCTAGGTTGGTGAAGAGGACGATAGGGGACCGGCAGGGTCGTCCACAGATGTTGCACTTGTGGATGGCTCGATCTAGTGCGGGAGGGGTAGTGGCAGCGTCTTTCCGGCGTTGGCGGTTGTCTGCCTCGGTTTGCAGTCGGGCTAACTCGAAAGTATTGACACCTTCTCGTGTGGTGCTCCTCCAAGCGTTACGATGTGGAGGTATCGACTCCCAGGTGAGGGGGTCGATTTTCCACTTTTTCAGGTTTGTCTTAAGGCTATCCTTATACCTTTTCAGTTGCCCGCCGGCGTTACGCTTACTGTTCGTAAGGTGACTGTAAAGTACCTGATTTGGCAGTCTACTGTCGTCCATGCGGGTAACATGGTCAGTCCAGCATAGTTGTTCATGGATAATGGTAGCCTCGATGCTCCTACAGTTGGTGTCAGCAACAATACTGGCATTAGTTATCTTGTCTTCCCAGCGAACTCGGAGGATGGAGCGTAGACTACGTTGGTGAAAGTTTTCAAGTGCCTTGACGTGCCTCCTGTATGTGACCCATGTCTCACTGCCATATAGCAGGGTGGGGAGGATCACTGCTCGATATACATGCAGCTTTGTAGATAATTTCAGCTCCCCCCAGCTGAAGACAAGGTTTCGGAGTCTGCCAAAGGCTTGAGAAGCACATCTGATCCGATGCTGAATCTCTTCATCGATGTTTACGGTGGTGGACAGGTGGGAGCCGAGATACCGAAAGTGGGTAACATTAGAGAGGGTAGTACCGTTAAGCTGGATGGATGGTGGAGATGTGTCTAAACCAAGAGCAGGTTGAAAGAGAATCTGAGTTTTACGTATATTCACCTCAAGGCCGAAGTGTGCATACGCATCTGCATAGGTGTTCGGGATCTCCTGTAGGTCGTGTTCAGTGTGAGAAACAAGGGTGAGGTCGTCTGCATACTGAAGTTCAGTTATGGAAGCTGCCGATATCTTTGTTCTTACCTGGAGTCGTCTTATGTTGAAAAGACCCCCCTTCACCCGGTACTCGATGTTCACCCCGCCGTCTAAATTTACGCTGGCACGAGTAAGGAAGGCAGTCAAACAACGGAAAAGAGAGTTGGTGCCAGTACATACCATTGTTTAACCCCCGTTTGGATGGGGAAGAACTCAGACTGGGTGCCGTTGTGCAGGACACTGTCATTCATGCCATCGTGGAGTTGTTCCACAATGGCGATAAATTTTGGTGGGCAGACAAAACGGCTGAGGGTTCACCAAAGGGCTTCCCTGTTGACCGAGTCGAATGCCTTGGTTAGGTCGATGAAAACCATGTACAGGTCACGATGCTGTTCTCTGCACATTTCCTGTATCTGGCGGGCAGCAAAGATCATGTCAGTGGTGCCACATGATGGTCTAAAACCACATTGAGATTCTGGGAGGAAGTTTTCCGCCTCGGGAAGAAGTCTGTTTAAGAGAACTCGGGCGATAATCTTGCCTGCTACGGAGAGCAGCGAGATCCAACGGTAGTTGCCACAGTTCTTATAAATATTAACAATGGAGGCGTCTTTAAGAGCTGGGGGAATTTCCTCCTTTTCCCATATATTATCCAGGAGACAGTGGAGACGGCTGGTAAGAGGTCCTCCTGCTTTATACACCTCGGCTGGGATTCCATCAGATCCTGAGGCTTCGTTATTTTTCATCTGTTTGATGGCAATAGCTAACTCATCCAGGGATGGAGGACAGCTGAGGTGGGTCAGCTCTGAATGCTGAGGGACCTGCTGGGTAGTCAGGACATCCACATCGGTGTTTCGGTTGAGCAATGAATGGTAGTGCTCTTTCCAGCGCTGAACGAGGCCTTCATCGTCTTTAATTATGAAGTTACTGTCAGATGAGCGGAGGGAGGCTGCACCACGAGTGACTGGCAAATTTTAGTGTTTCACATGCTTTATTTTTAAGCCAGTCATTCTTTAGATTACGAAGTTCCCGCTGGGCTGCCTCTTTCTTCTTGAGGAAGGTATCAACTTTGGTCCGAGACTGAGGGTTGTTCTGCCAGTCAGTAAAAGCAGCACGTTTATCATCGATGAGTACTTTGATTGCCGGGTCATTATCATCAAACTAATCCTGGTGTATTCTTTTGATCTGGCCGAGGGTCTCTGCAGGTCTTTGTTATAACAGTGTTGAGAGTATCCCATTCGGCACTGGGATTAGCGTTTTTTGCTGTTGGGTTGTTTATAAGCCCATGTTCGAGCTGCTCTCTGAAAGCATGTGCTACCGCTGGATCCTCCAGACGCTTAGTATTAAAACTTCTTCTGGAGGCTTGCTATCTTCGCAGTTTTAGGGAGACGTAAAGTGAGAGCTTGGCTCTGACAAGTCGATGATCAGTGTTACAGTGGTCTGAGCCACACATGGCACGGGTTATGAGGACATCTCGGCGATTTCTTTCTCTGACAATGATGTAGTCAATGAGATGCCAGTATTTGGGTCGTGGGTGTTGCCACGAACTCTTGAACTTGTCGGCCTGCCTAAACAAGGTATTGGTCATAGCGAGGTTGTGTTCAGCACACTTGCTGAGGAAGAGTAGGCCGTTGGAATTACACTTGCCTAGTCCATTTCTCGCAATGGTTCCCTGCCAAATGTTAGCATCTCTGCCACTCTGGCATTGAAGTCGCCAAGGAGCACAACCTTGTCTTCTCTAGGGATAGAGGTTAGCACTCTGTCGAGGTCGGCATAAAAGGCCTCCTTGATGTCATCCTCTGCATCCAGTGTTGGGGCGTATGCACTGATGAAAAAGGCATGACGCAAGTGATTCAGTGGGACTCGGGCGTCATGAGGCGCTCTTTGTTCCCAATAGGCATTTCAGTTAGCCTGTGTGGGATGCATTGGCGGATGGCAAAGCCAACTCCATAAATGAGGTTTCTCTCCGCAGCAGGTTTACCCTTCCAGAAGAAGGTGTAGCAAGACCCCCGTTCTGTGAGTTGGCCGTCATCTGGGAGGCGGGATTAACTAATGGCTGCTATGTCTATGTTATACCTAGCCAGCTCTTTTGCCACAGGGGCAGTTCTTCTTTCAGGACACTCATTTGTGCCAGTATCCAGAAGGGTCCTTACATTCCATGCAGCGACCATTAGAGGTTGTATGGTTTGTTTTTGTTTGGATCTGTGATTTTGATTGTGTTTTCGACTGCATAAGGATGACGTTATTGGGTGTGGTTGCCCAGTCAGGTTGGGTTTTTAGGCAGGCTATGTTTAGGGCACCTTTTCTCGCCCCCTCCCCATGTTGGGTGAGCAGAGTGGCTCCTCGAAAGGGCTGCTCAGTCGCACAGACAGGACCGGATTGCACTGCTGCCTAGATCCCAGTGCATAAACGACCATCTTAACTGTGCCGCCCATGTGCAGAGTTGTGACTAGAGACTCTCGGCAGTCATCTCTGCCTGTCCCCGTCGCCACTCGTCCGTCGCCATAGGACTTTTGGGGGTATAGGGGTTTTGATGACACACACACACACTTGCTTCATCCAAAAACAACAATGAATCACCAATACGAATACAAGGTTACATATTCGAGATCAAGTCATTAAGTGTAAACAATAGATCGTGTTTGTTTTGAAGAGTAATGAACATATTTTAGTGTTGTATCTATAATCTCTCTTCTGCGGTTTTTACGTGGAAGTGGCACGGCATTGTGGTCGAGGTGGTGAAGGGGTGAGTGTTTAATGGAATCTGTTGTGTGGTGGTTGTTGTTGTTGTGTGATGATGGTAGTAGTGGTTGGTCTGTGATCGTTGCTGTGTGGCGGTGATGGTTATGTAGGGGTGGTTGGTGTGTATTCTTGTTGCGTTGTGGTGATGGTAATGGTTGTTGTGTGGTGGTGGTGGTGGTGGTAGTAGTCGTTCGTGTGTAGTGGTGGTAACTGGTTGTGTGGTGGTAGTGATTGGTGTGTGGTGGTAGTAGGTGTTGTATGATTGTTGTCGTTTGGTGGTAGTAGTTTTTGTGTGGTGGCAGTGACGGCAGTTGTTGGTGTGTGGTGGTGGTGGTGGCAGTGACGGCAGTTGTTGGTGTGTGGTGGTGGTGGTGGCAGTGACGGCAGTTGTTGGTGTGTGGTGGTGGTGGCAGTGGTTGGTGTGTGGTGGTGGCAGTGGGTGGTGTGTAGTGGTGGCAGTGGTGGCAGTGGATGGTGTGTAGTGGTGGCAGTGGGTGGTGTGTAGTGGTGGCGGTGGTGGAAGGAGAGTGGTGAGACATCTTTAGTGCTGACCTTTGCATCAGACACCTCACTGTCTCCCTGAAGTGGCCCAGGTGTTGATGCACACACACACACAGACACACACACACACACACACACACACACACACACACACACACTCTCTCTCTCTTATTGTACGCATGTTGTGCACCACAATCACTGCTGTCATAACCAGGTTGTCCCCCACAGATGGAGGCGGAGCTGGTGGAGCTGAAGACGACGCCGAGGATGGGGAGGGACGATGATCTGGTGGACGTAGAAGCCGGCCAGTCCTCCACCGGCGACGACGCTGAAGACCGGAGGCAGAGTGGAGGAAGCGGGGAGGAAGGAACGGAGGGGGAGGGGGGTGAGGAGGTGGTGAAGAAGGAGACGGTGGTGTTGAGACTCGGGGAAGGAAAGATTGAGGGACCTATGAGGTTCATCACCTGCTATGCCTCCGTCTTCACCTTCACGGTCATGATCGGCATCATCATGTGGCTCCTCATAATCTCCCCGCCCTTCACCGTCAAGCCGGAGATCCTGCCGGGGAGGTCCAACTCCAGCTCCAGCTCCTCGTCGACCGTCACCCGCACCACGGTCTTGCCGCTCAACACAGAGACCCCAGAGTTTAGTTCGGATTTTAATCAAGCCTGAAGCTCTTCTGGTTAGATTTACACCTCTCATCAATCCTGTTATATTGATGAATAAATCTACACATCTGATTACGTTTGGATCACTTTCGATGATCAAGCCTTGAAACTAAGTGTAGAATGGCAGGTCAAACATAGAAATTTGAGATGTCTGAATCCATTTTGATGGAATCTTTAAATCGATGCTATGCATCTGATCAAACCTGAATGGATCTAGATGGATCCTATACATTTGACGATGACTGAAACTCGTTTTGTCCGAGGCGTCACACATGACCTCGTGTGAACATAATATTTACACGGGCCTTAAGTGTTCCACCAAGCCTGAAAACGTGTGATAAACTGACGCCAGACAGATGAAGCAAATAACTGAAGAGCAAATTCGGATACTGTGTAATAACTCCGACTATTCTGAAATCCTGAAATATCCTGAGAATATAATTCGCTCAGCCTCAGGACTTCATCAGTTATGTTTTGCTCTGAACACTGAAGCAGTGATGCAAACCCTTCAGATGTAAAGAAGCTTACCCACCAGAGTGATGTCCCTTACCTGGCGCGTCTTATATCTTTGTGAGAGGTTGTCAGTAGTGCCAGAGGTCTGTAGTGTGTTATGTGAAGGTGCCATACACCTGCATACACCTGACCACACCGGTAGTTATAGTGCCAAAAAAGGTGTTCATCCACTCTCTTGACCAATATTTACAGTTGCTTAAGTGTCTTACCCTCAAACACCTGAACACACCTGTACGTATAAAGCCAGGAGTGCCACTAATACACACCTGTAAGAGTAGAGCCAGGAGTGCCACATATAAAAGACACCCGACCAGGTAATTATCCCACTTCATGATAGATTTTAGCAACAGGTGTGTCGTGACCAACTACCATGTGATGACGTGGTGTAGCATAGGTACACACACACACACACACACACACACACACACACACACACACACACACACCATAGTTGTACTACAAATGGCTAATAATGGTCTTTTATTCCTAATCTGAATATTATAATTGGGTGATAAGTGACTATACTATGATCTTATTAATTTTATCTGAGCATTAACTGGGGGTAAATAATTTCCAAAGCCTTTTCAATGTGTCTGAAGGTGAGGTAAGGCTATAATTAGCCTTTGTTGCTGTTAAAATTTTAGTTGGTAGTAAATGGCCAATATCAGCTATTTTCTCTTAAGTGTAAACCTACGAGGCATGAGAATGATCCTACTCTTTGTGTATCTTTGTTGATACTTCTCAGCTGTTTTATGATGTCACAGATGGACAATCACTCTGTAAACACCTGATGCACTGGAGTATAACATTGTCAAGCCTGGTCCATATACCTGTACCGTAATCACTGTGACGAAACGTTTTATATGAATGTAGACCTCGACCCAGGGAATGGAAGTGACAGTATTGTAATCACTTTGTTTGTGTGTGATAATGAAGAGTTACTAGCGGGTGAGGTGAAATCTCCTATGTTCTTTCCAAAGGTGAACATAAGAATTGTACCAATGTTAGTTTTCGTTGTCTAGTAATCACATACATTAATGTTGTTATCACAGAACTCTGGTTGTTAAGAAAAGATAGACAGGTCATGTTAGGTCAAGATATCTGGTAGGAATAAACAGGGTGATATTTTGGGGGCGAGAAGTGAGGCTTGTGGCCTTGTTACTTAATGAAGAGCTGGCACACAGTCGCGGGGATCTGAATGTTTTTGTAGAGTTGAGGTTTATGACCTGACTGTGTTGTGCAGATTAATGTTTACGGTTTTATAGTGAATTTGTAATGTCTGGTGGACTGACTTCTGTACCTAGAAGGTTTTTGTACGTACAGTCACTGGATTTAGATGGCAATAACACGTTTCGACATCAGATATTCTAGCCTTATGAAGTGTGCTCATCCGATCTAAATTAATTAACTTTATCTAACTGAACCCAACCAGGCTTCAATGTCCACAGCAGAAACTTGTTGTCACCGTCTGAGACACATACTTACCTCTCTTAGTTACTGTGAGACGTCGGAGAAGGAAGATAATGGCCTCTTGATATTACGGTTCCCTCAGTCGGGAATCTCTTCCTTTTGACGCGTCACTGTGGTGATCCTCCTCATGATTCACACCATCAAATATCTTGCTTTTGTTGGTGAACGACTCTGGCTCGTCTCTCTCTCATATCTGAAACATAGAGTGTAATGGAGATTTAGAAACTAATTTATAGATTGCATGAAGATTAATTTATAAATGTATTTCCCTACGATGTCTGAAAAGCACTGTAAGATAGTCCCAGAAATCCTAACCTAATCTAACCTACCCTAAGCCAACCTAACCTAACCTAACCTCCTTAACCTCACCCATCCCCCCACAGGTAGCGTTAGGCTGGTTGTTCGATTCTTCAACCACCAAAAGCATTATTTTAATAACAAATCAATAATAAGCTCCTACAATTGTCGATAAACACCAATATAAACATTCGGGTTCATTGATCTTGATGTGTTTATGATAATATTTACTATCCATCAGAATCCTTCTAGGTATCAATACATTACAACAAAAACAAATTTAATTCAGGGTGTTGGTCCAGGAAACGATGATAAATCTTCTATAATTTGAAAGTTGGTGTTATAAAATTGAGAGGTCGATAAAAATTAATAATTCCATGTTAAATATAAGCATCATAATTACCTTCACTCATTCACGTCTGATAAAAGTAGTGATTAAACACCTAATTACCTTATTTATCATACTGTTATATTCTTTATTTCTCATTTAGTATTATCTTTGACATTATTTTATTCTTAACAAAATATTCTGGATAATATCTAACCATAAACTGAAAAGACAAAATATAATTGGCGTTAGACATTCAAGATCGATGATTTGGCAACACAGTTTAGCAATACTTCCTCCCGTGTTCTGTGTCACCCTGTTTCTGTTTCAATGGGTAGAATATCTCTCATTTTCTATGTCTCGTTGGATGGTACAAATGTCATATGTGACTCGTGTCAGTGTGAACAATATTATAAATGAAAAGATGATCAGTGAGGAGGTCTGAGTATCCTGCTGGTGGTGGTGGTGCGGTGGTGGTTTTTGTAACGAAGCTTTAAACATTAGTAATGGATTAGTAATATTACATTATATTACCATTATTTTGTAATTGGCAAGTTTAACTGTAAAATTTAAAGTCTTTTAGTTAGTTTTTACACCTACATTTGTATACATATATGCTACGTCTCCCAGGTCAGGACGTGGGAAGCATCCGCAGTTGCTTCCCTTGAATATTTTAGTGTTCTCAGTGAAGCATAGTGAGTGAGCTGTCGCGCTGCTCTCTCTCCCAACACTCGCTCAAACTAAAGATATGGAAAAAGGGATTAGTCTACCTTTTATAATTTCAACTTTTAAATAAATATGTGAATCTATGCCATGATTTTCTGATTTATATATGTATTCTTTAGTGGTAGTTTTAGGTTATTTAGGTAATATTATAATCAATTAACGTTGTGAAGTGAGAATATTTTTGACACTGGACTGATGCATTTTGTAGGCAATAGAGGGGTAATATTAAGGAAGAGAGAGTGAATATTTTTGAATAAAGGAACTGGACATTGTGACTCACTTAACATGTCTGATTATTTTATTTTTTATGCTTAAAATATTTATTGAGATGATCGACACTTTTGTTCACATCTTAAAAGAAGAAAAAAATCTCTAATGCTGGAAATATTTTTATGTGTTTAATATTTTTCTAAGATTCTTGGGAATATTACAGCGTGTTTAGTGACCCCAAATATTAATACATGTACTGTATTTTTGTCTCTGATCCAAATGATGCGTGAGTGTCATCCCTGTAAGAAACATTGTTGACAAGTATCACTGATCCATTGTGAGTTATAATGTTCACAGGGTTTCAGATTGATCCGTTTAAGACTGTTCACTGTGTCAGATTGATCCATTAGTGAGCTATTTTGTTGACAAGTTTCAGAGAGATTCTTTCTATACTTTATTTAGATGACGAGAAGTTCACTTATGTCTGCCCTAGATAGAATCATTTGGCTTGTGAAACATTTATCGTGGAATAAATATATCACAGAGTTAAATATAGTTTGAAAAGCATTGAAAACAAAAGCACTCCATCAAAACTTTTTTTCGAGAGTTGAAATTAAAAAAAATATTGAAAGTATTATTGAATATGAGTAAAAAAAATCGTTCAAATCTTGTAAAATATGGAGGCAATAATATTCATCACATTGGTTTAATCTATTTTAAAAGTTAATGTAAATGGTACATTATTTTAGCTTCATAAGGTTTAGTTGTTTTCAGCGTGAAGAAAAGTGAATAGAAATAACCTTATAAGCGGATACACCTAGGATGGACGGGATCAATACATAACCTACACAGACTGATATTAAGAGACTGAAACACACACACACACACACACACACACACACACACATACATATTTATTATACGGACAATTATTTTCCCTTGATCTGTGTATAAAAATATCGCCAAATTCACTGAGCTTCCTCGCGATAAATAAATAAATAAATAAATAAATAAATAAATATATATATATATAGAAGACGTGAATATTTTTATCTAAAGACACAGGTGAAATTTTCCCCCTGAAATGAAAATTCTTAAGAGTGAGAATACTATGTGTAAACCTGTGTATTTCATATATCAATTGTTTGAATGTATATCGTGCTACTGTACGTATATAGTGTATGTATTGTAGTATAGTTGTGTACACGGTGTTTATGTCTTAAACACGGTGTATATATCTATGTATAAAATTATGTGCCTTTGTATTGCTGTGTTAATTTTCGACGTAGTGTTGTGTAGTGTATGTATATGTGTGTATACTTGACCTACACTATGTATATGTAGAGACCAAGAACAACAAGTATCCTACTCATGATGTCATGGTTTTCTTTCTCTTCCTCAGGTGTTTCGTGTTTGTTTTTGCTGTGTTTGTTTTTGCTAGTGGCGTCATCCTCACCCCCCCTCTCATTCTCTCTCTCGACTTCAACAAACAACCATGCACCTAACCCTTAGACATATATTTTAGTTATTAGTGGTCCTGTCCAATTAATTAAAAGAAATACCTGTACATTTGTCATAATTCACACCATTTACACCATCTGTGAGTTGAGTGGGGAAAAGCTCTCTTGAGTGGCCATGAAGTTAAGCTCTCTTGAGTGGCCATGAAGTTAAGCTCTCTTGAGTGGCCATAAAGTTAAGCTCATTTCAGTGGCCAAGGAGTCACGTTTCAGGGACATGTATTGTTACGCCGTCTCTTAATTTACTTAAATATCCAGGTTCTAGGCGTAACCAAACAAAAAGTGAAGTAAATTAAAAGAGAATAAAAATAAATAAAGTAAACCTTTAAGAATTTAATTGATTAAATATTAACACAATAAAGAGCCTCGTAGGCTGTCACAACAAATTGATTCACCATCGAAACTTTTAAGACACAAATGACACTAAACATCGAAACATCAAAAGAATAAAAATAAAGCATTGGATTACGTTAACACTGCATAAACATATAAAAACTAACACTGAAATTAACTAACGTGAAACAACACTGAATTACTTGAATACAACTAAGCAAATACTGATGGACACAAACAGAGACATAAATAGGTACTCACATAGATATACCACATTGGTGGCGACAGGAACAACACAAATAAATTAAGAATAAGTAACAAGTGACACTCAAAGGATGTGGACTGTATGACAAGAGGACTGAACTAACTCCGTCAGTTGGTGGGTCCTATATATAAGGTCGGCTCCCGCCACGCGACCCGCCGGTGGGTCGTTTAACGATGCAGATGGTCGTTAGAGAACAAAGAATGCTTGTTACAGTACTAAATAAAGAAATAAGATGGGCTTGAACAAATAATGACAGTTAAAACCTTACCAGCACAGGGTAAGGTGACTAGAATATATAATAGTAAATTTAACACATCATTACAGGAATAATATGGAGCATGGGAGCATGTTATATATAAAAAAATAGAAAAAATTCGACACGGACGTAACAGTATATATAAAATACGCCAAGTTCTATTAGGATCCTGATTTGGCGCTCAGCAGTGTTGCGTAAAGACGTCAAATGAATATAACACTAAATGATAATCGCGAAATATACAACCTGAAGTAATTGTGTGTGTGTGTGTGTGTGTGTGTGTGTGTGTGTTTATAATGGTCTGAAAGAGAGAGAGAGAGAGAGAGAGAGAGAGAGAGAGAGAGAGAGAGAGACAAATAGAACAGAAACAGATCAAAAGGCATTTGACAAATAACATTGCAATATATTCAACAGTAAAGAGCCACACACACACACACACAGAAAGACATATAAACAAAGGGACAGACAGACAGACATACGACTGTCTCTTCCCTCACCTCACCTGGGAATCCATTAGAAGATTACCTGGACGTCAGTAATGAAATTTAAATGCCAGTTATTATATGAATAATTTTATACAATGAATACATGATAAAGTTGATAAAATAATGAATATAGTAAAAAGTTATGAATGGATACACGAAATACTACTACTAATGATAATAATAATAATAATAATAATAATAATAATAATAATAATAATAATAATAATAATAATAATAATGCCATATCCCCTCAGTTTATACATAAATTAAGTAATCAAGCTTAATTACTAAATGATTTTATAGTGATTGGTTGCAGGTCTGTGTTATTATATATATATATATATCGGGGTAATTTCTAAACTCCTTTCCTGATAATTGGAGCCCTGTGAACTAATTACCAACCAGTGACCTCCCTTCCCCTCCCCCGACGAGGTTGAAGCCACACAATGACCAACTAATTGTAGTCTGTTGTCCTTTTATACACATTATAAAAGAATAATTACATTAAACGATACTAAATTTAGCTTATTAGTGATGCTTCGTGTATAAGTACGGATTGTGTTTACGGTGATATTATTATTGTTGTTATTTGCTAGTGTTGTTATTTTTGTTATTGTTGTTATTATTGTTATTATTATTGGTATTGTTATTGCTATTATTTTTGTTGTTATTATTATTATTATTATTATTATTATTATTATTATTATTATTATTATTATTATTATTATTATTATTATAGTTATTGTTGTTATTATTGTCATTATTGTTGTTATTGTTATTGCTATTATTGTTGTTATTATTATTTTTGTGTTATTATTATTAACTTAGTGTAAATTCAAATATTTTTTAATAATGGTAAAAAAGTTATCCCCGAGTCCTGATTTCGCTGTGTATAGTGAACAGACCAACAGTGTAACCTTTACCGACACGATACTGTAATTCAGCTCTTATGCAGTAGTTACAGTGAGGCTACAGTATACCACCTTGTAGCCCCGGGGTTACGCCTTTAGTTCAATTGCCAATTAAAATCTATGAATACCCACCACCCCGGGAAAGAACGGTATATGTGCCAAAAAATTATATTCTGTTTGGTTATATATGCTTCTGCTGTGTGTGTGTGTATGTGTGTGTGTGTGTGTACAACTATATGTATATTAGGCCAGGGAAACGAGAGAGAGCATCAATAACAGGAAAAGTAAAGGAGTTGTGGGAACATACATACATACATACATACATACATACATACATACATACATACAAACATATTTAGATCGATAAAATAGAACAAACTCTCATATAAATAGGTAGTAAAGTTTTAAGCAGCCATCAGTAGAATCATTTAATGTTTCACTATTAATAAACTAGTGTCTATTTATACTCAGCCGTCGCCAGATTTACACAGGGAATGTGTTTCAAAGAGTTTTTTCTTTAACGCTGTGGGGGAGAACTGTCTCTCTCTGTCTGTCTGTCTCTCTCTCTCTCTCTCTGTCTCTTACATCTATGGTACCTGACGAAGGCTGTGTGTATGTCTCTCTGTGTCTGCATATAAGGTTTTGTGTGTAAAGTTTGGTTTTGTTACATTATCAACAGGCAGACTGAGGGTCGAACCGAGATTAAGACTGAGTTAGACTGTATCGCATCTACGCTAGCTAAAAACATCGTAAAAAATTGCAATACATACGATTAGATCATTTCAGTGTATATCTGAGGAATATTGTATGTATCATGACCTCTTCCTATCGTGATCGTGGGGAAAAAATGCGTAAATATTTAATAAAAGATAATAGGATTACAACTTTCGCCATTATACTACTGGGCCTCATTAATTACCATAACATAAACGTCACACAATTATTGGCCACTAAACTATGGCGTCACAGATTCTGACATCATAGACTAAAGCTCATTGGCCATTTGCCAGCCTCCTGGACGTTGACGTCACAGCTTGGGGTTTATTGGTCACTTGCCAGCCGCCCGGAATATGACGTCACAACTTAAAGCTCAGCTATTGGTCTCCGGCAACAAGTCTCGGGGCGGTGGGTCTACAACACGGTGCCAAATTTCCTATAATATTGGGGTTTATGGGAAAATATTTTAACTCGGGGGACATATTGTAGTTCCAGAAGACGTTGACGTGTTTACAAAGTGTATTGCTTTATGTCTGAGGCAGATGTGAAATTCTTTGAAGCAGATAATGGAGAGCTAAAAATGTATGTGGCATATGTGAGCAGGTAGTGGGGGGGAGGGGGAGGTGTGTGAGCAGGTAGAGTGTGTGTGGGGAGGATAGGTGTGTGAGCAGGTAGAGTGTGTGTGGGGAGGATAGGTGTGTGAGCAGGTAGTGTGTGTGGGAGGAGGTGAGCACTTAGTAAAGAGGTCAAAGTTCACAGTCGACAGGTCAAAGTTCACGATAAAGAACTTAATAAAAAAACTCATCAACCCTGAGTGTCGTATTTATATCAACTCAAAGCAGGATGACAACAAACACGAAAAAACATGGAAATACAAAAAGAAACATAAATAACACAGGAAAAACCCTCACTCCTCACCTCTACCCCTCACCTCACCCCTCCTCCCTCACCCCTCCTCCCTCACCTCTCCTCCCTCCCTCCCTCACCTCTCCTCCCTCACCTCTACCCTCCTCCTCACCTCTCCTCCTCCACCTCTACCCCTCACTCCCTCACCCTCACTCCCTCACCTCTCACTCCTCTCCTCCTCCCTCACCTCTCCTCCCTCACCTCTACCCCTCCTCCCTCACCTCTACCCCTCACTCCCTCACCTCTCACTCCCTACCTCTACCCCTCACTCCCTCACCCCTCACTCCCTCACCTCTACCCCTCCTCCCTCACCTCTCACTCCCTCACCTCCACCCCTCCTCCCTCACCTCTCACTCCCTCCTCCTACCCCTCCCTCCCTCACCTCTCACTCCCTCACCTCTACCCCTCACTCCCTCACCTCTACCCTCCTCCCTCCACCTCTACCCCTCCTCCCTCCCCTCACCCCTCACTCCCTCCCACCTCTACCCCTCCTCCCTCACCTCCTCCTCCTCCTCTCCTCCCTCCACCTCTACCCCTCTCCCCTCCTCTCCTCCCTCACCTCTACCCCTCACTCCCTCACCTCTCACTCCCTCACCTCCTACCCCTCCTCCCTCACCTCTCACTCCCTCACCTCTCCTCCCTCCTCCCTCACCTCTCCTCCCCTCACCTCTACTCCTCCTCCCTCACCTCTACCCTTCCTCCCTCACCTCTACCCCTCCCTCCCTCACCTCTTTCCTCCTCACCTCTACCCCTCTCCTCCCTCACCTCTCACTCCCTCACCTCTACCCCTCACTCCCTCACCTCTACCCTTCCTCCTCACCTCTACCCCTCACTCCCTCACCTCTCCTCCCTCACCTCTACCCCTCCTCCCTCACCTCTCCTCCCTCACCTCTACCTCTCACTCCCTCACCTCTACCCTTCCTCCTCACCTCTACCCCTCCTCCCTCCTCTCACTCCCTCACCTCCTACCCTCCTCCCTCACCTC